TACTTTATATACGAAAAAAAAGTAAAATCTCTATAGATTTCCCTGCCGTTGGACATGCAGATCTGGTTCTGAGAACACTTGTTCTAGTTCAGTCAGTGCTGTGTATAACTTTACTATGAGTTTACTTTGTCAAGGCCGGGTATTTATCTTAACTCCTAGGTGTATACCATGTATGGTTACAGGGCTAGACAATAAGGGCAGCCCGAGAGTCTGGGTATTTATCTTAACTCCCAGATGTATACCATGTATGGTTACAGGGCTAGACAATAAGGGAAGCCCGAGGGTCTGGGTATTTATCTTAACTCCTAGATGTATACCATGTATGGTTACAGGGATAGACAATAAGGGAAGCCCGAGAGTCTGGGTATTTATCTTACCTCTTAGATGTATACCATGTATGGTTACAGGGCTAGACAATAAGGGAAACCCGAGAGTCTGGGTATTTATCTTAACTCCCAGATGTATACCATGTATGGTTACAGGGCTAGACAATAAGGGAAGCCCGAGAGTCTGGGTAATTATCTTAACTCCTAGATGTATACCCTGTATGGTTACAGGGCTAGACAAGAAGGGAAACCCGAGAGGCTGGGTATTTATCTTAACTCTTAGATGCATACCATGTATGGTTACAGGGCTAGACAATAAGGGCAGCCCGAGAGCCTGAAACTTACGTAAGTGAAATCCCAAGCTGGACTAGTGGTTCTTAAAACTGCAGGCCCAATTCACTAGTCAAAATTTGATATTCAACTCATCATTTAAATCATATTGGGTTGGTGGAAATTGCGTATGGACAAGTAAAATCAGAAACAATCAGCCCGACTGTCTAGCGTTTTTAAAACTTAATTTCTAACCATGGGTTACCCAGTGACACTTATGCATGTATGAGTTTATAGCTTACAAGTCATGTAACTACATGTATCAAATATAGGATTTATATTGTTATCGGAAGTGTGCAATCAGGCATGAAAATACATGATTATTTCTGCTGCAAAGGTAAACCGAAAGGTTTAATTTGATTCTATATTTGAAACGTAATATAAATTCAGCATGCACCGGTTTTATTATTTATTTTTTAAAATTAGATCCAACATTAATGTCTCTGTATTCTATAATATGAACTGCCTGGGTGGAGTTGTATGACGAGGTTATATCAGGACAGAAAGTATAGATGGCGTCCTATCAGCACGCACACCAATGCATTCTTATAGTTATTTTCTAAAAGCAAATCATGTGTATAGATTGGATGGTGCAGTGGATAATGCCCTCGCCTTTTACCAAGGCGGCCCGTTTCCTCCACATTAAGTGGGCTAACATCTGGGCAACAACAGTAATATAAGTTGAAATAACATGTTTCATAATTGTTGTAAAATACATAAAGTTTATCATTTAATATAAACTAAACCCAGTACATATATCTTAGTAAATTGATTTCGTCATCATAGTTTTCCATCTTAGATAATACCTTAAAATTTTGTTATAAAATATTTCAAAACCATGGTGAAAGAATTTCAGTAATAGAATCAGAATTCATATACGAACAAATAAAGAATTTAGTCACTCTACTTCAACTCTATGCATTGTTAATATGTACATTGTTTATTTTTTAGTTTGCTAGGTGTTTTTTCTACACACAAACACATTGTACTTGTGTTTGAAACAACATTCCAAACGGACCCTTAGCAAGCTTTCATCAACACTCACGTACACAATGGATATCAACTGAACTACGGTAGGAGTTAATATCTATATATAGACAGAACAAATATTTGTTAATAAATCCATATTATTTACTAGGCGACACGTCAATGTAGTGTGATGTTTGTTTTAAATTCATAAAGAATTTTAGTTTAATTGGGCAAATATTGAACATTGGAAGCGGACAAAGGTCCAATGATGTATTCAGAAATATAAGACCTGTTATTTTTAAACATGTTATCCCTTTCGAGAAAATAAAATAGTCCATACAGTGGAAACTTGAGACTTCTTATGTATTGACAAAAAGTCTTGTCTGAAAGTGGCTGGAAATGAATGCAAATATACAAAGATACAAATTGAAATAAAAAGAGCCATGGAAAGAAATTGATCAAACTTGAAAATACGCCATTTTTGTAATACATCAGGATGTTTTTGTGTCTAATAATTAATGAATTATGTTTAAGACATTTAAGACCCCCATAAAGCTTTTAGATAATTAAAATTTCAAAATTTTATTTGTTCTGCCAATTAATTTTTTAATTTGGATCCAGGGTCCATTTCCCAAAATACCCTGAAAGATCCGTTAAATTCAAAGGTTGTGAAATAAATAACGGGTATGGTACAAGGCAGGCTCCTTGCAGCAGCTCTGTTCAATGGAAAACTAAAAACAATACCATGTTTGTCTAAATGCTGACAAAACTAGAAGAGGAACAAAATATGTCTTTATTGAAATATATATGCTATTTGTCTGATAATTCCAGGAATATTGTATATTGCGAATCATATTTCTATTTATCTTAAAGGCATTGTAAGTGTTGAAACAGTACAAAAATTGTGCTATTCAAAATTGAAGAGTAGCTACCACATTAAATTTTCCATTAAAATTCATGAACAAATTGAAGTGACTAAGTACACACAATAAAATAACCCTACAATTCCCCCCACTCTCTGGAGCCCTACTTTAATTACACAAGTTTTCAATTCTTCTGTCCAGACAACCAACCAATACCCACACAACAATTCCCCTAATGGATAGGTGACCAGGACCCTGGTTTAAACATTTGTTAGCTTCTAAATTGAAACTTTTTCAAAAATACTTTGAAATAATTTGATATCTCTTGTCTTTAGATAAATATTTTGTAATCTGGTCTCTTTGAAACATGCCACTCTTTTAATAAATAAATAAATAAGTATAGATATATATAAGCAATCAACAAAAATGAAAATATAAAAACATTAAAAGTAATTATCAAGCTAACCAGGCTTGAACTCTGCCATAAATGTTGACTTTTATAGAATCTTGTGTGTGAGTCAGGGTAACATGCTGAGACCTTACTTTATTATCTACCTCTGGATAACAATCATTGTATGAGGTGAAGCCATGGTGCTATTTATAATAATTGCTTGATTAAATTATCTTTAGTATACCAGAGTGAAGAAAGGATTCTTAACCTGTACAATTCAAAAATGACAACTTAGAATTTTCTTTTATCTGAGAAGTAAATAAATTCCTTTAAGAAAATTTTGAATAAGAATTTCACTCCCTTCTGTAAAGGAAATATGCAAATTATCTTTTCTTCAATATGGTGAAATTGAAAGATACCAGGTATGCCCTGAATAAGGACAATGTATATAGGTCCTTTGCCTTATCACATCTATCTGGAGTCAATCCAATTTTTAGTCAAATATCAAAAATTCAACATCAACTTATAATTAATTCTTGTTTAAAAATTTGTGCCAAAACCAAAATATGCTTACATTGTCAGTTTTCCCTTTTCATCAACCATATAGACTGCTGGTGATATACTTGGGTGCAGTTTATGTTATTTGTTCATATTTAAAACTGAATAGATCTACACAATATTCAGCATGTAGAACTCGATAGTACCATACTATGGTGATAGTCGATAACATTTTAGAATAGGACTGCAACAATATATCCTCCAACGATCTATACTCCAACGATATATCAGGATATACTTAATACGGTACGATACACAATATTTTTGGCGAGGTCACAATACACCTATGATATTTTACAGACTTTGTCTTCTTGAAATTTTGTCTACCCATATCCGTTCCCACATAGCGAGTGACAGCTTCAGCTTGGCATGTTGAAAGACGTGAATTGTTTGAAACGTGAAAGTCATGGCCATTTTGGACCGAGTCTATTTCCTGTTGTAATATCATCATTAAAAATTTGCAAAGGTGATGATGTCTTTTCTCTTTGCTTTTACTACTACATGTATCCCGATACATATTGTATTGGGCCACAGTATCGTGATACGTATTGTATCGTGACCACAGTATCGTGATATGTATTGTATTGTGACCACAGTATCGTGATACGTATTGTATTGTGACCACAGTATCGTGATACGTATTGTATTGTGACCACAGTGTCGTGATACGTATTGTATTGTGACCACAGTGTCGTGATACGTATCGTATCGTGACCACAGTATCGTGATACGTATTGGATTGTGACCACAGGATCGTGATACGTATTGTAATGTGACCACAGTGTCGTGATACGTATCGTATCGTGATCACAGTATCGTGATATGAATTGTATTGTGACCACAGGATCGTGATACGTATTGTATCGTGTCCACAGTATCGTGATACGGATTGTACGTATCATCATGTTAATATATCGTTGCAGCCGAATATTTTCAGAAGTTCACAATGACCGGTTGATTTTTGCAGGGGGCATGAATTAACATACCATTTTCTATTCTAGTGTCAAGACTGTCGAGGTGTATGTATCTTGGAGATTTTAAGAATGAAAACAAAATCTAATCAGGTGTAGAACTTGATATTACCATACTACTGGGTATGGAATTAATATGAACTATATGTGTTCAGGTGTTCATAAGATATCTAATGTACACAAGCCTTTTACTGTGGACATGCACACAGACAGACACGCACACATGGACACATGCACGGACAAAGCAATCACTTATACCCACTCACTAAGTGGGAGATATAATTTACAAAACAATCTTATTAACTCAATCACCCCTGAAATTTCTTAATGAATTATTCCAACTTTGAATTGGAAGAGTTAAAATATGTCTTTAGGTGTGAATGAGTTAATGAGCAAAATCGAATTGGACCAATGTCCAACTTGATTTAATCAATATTTCTGTTAAAAGTAAAACGCTGATGCACAGTTCATTAACTCATTCACCCCTGAAATTTCATAATGAACTAGTCCAGCCTTTTTATTGGAAGAGTTCAAATGTGTCTTAAGGGGTGAATGAGTTAAACTACAAAATAAATAAAAGTTTGTTACTGACCAAACTCTGTTGTCTTGCCTTCCCTCTGTGGTGTTGGAGGGAGTCTGTCCACCCAGTACACTGACCGCCTAAAACATAAACAGCTCACATATAATATCTGTCAAATCTATGAAGGTTCAAAATGTACATCAGTCATAGCTTGACGCTAGACGAGCAGTGCTGTTTTTGTGGTGAATTTGGGGATAAGGCCCCTTCCCACAGATAATTTCTGCTGTATTTTCCAAAAATCAATTCAATACAAAAATCACTTTATTTTCCCAAAATCATGCTTTTTGGGGATGATATTTTCCTAAAGTCACAAGGCACAGGCTCCTATGGAAAGGAGGGAGAACAGTCACTGTAAAGGTAGCTTCCTTTTCACTAAATTGATGCCGCAACAGGGTGGGAAGCTCAGGATCATTGGCTCATACTGCAACAGGGTGGGAAGCTCGGGATCATTGGCTCGATCTCCAGTGAAAGAGTAGATCACACTTTTCTCTTCCTGTTCACAAAATGGTGTCTTTGGCCCTCCCTATGGTGACAGGGAGTTAGAACCTTGGTCGAAGTGGTGTTCCGGTGCAAATACATTTAGAACGGGGAAAGGAAATAGACTTGAAGTGTGGCAGGTCTTAATTGTACCTATGACAGTCATCTTCTAGCTCCATGCTAGAGGGAATTTCGTTTAGCTCAACTTAAGTAGAGTGTTGGAGGCCAGGTGAAATGTTTTTTCAAGACAGGAATGACTGTAACTAAGGTCGCAGTTGTATAGGGGCCTGGACAAGCAGGGTTGTGTATCATTAATCATAACAGTATTGCGATGAATTATGATACTTCAGAGAGTATTGCAATAATATTACTGTTATATCAAAATTGTATCGTCAACCTTTAAAATATTTATTTGAATTTATGATGAAAATAAGTAAAGAATGCAAAAAACATTGAAAAGGCATTCAATGAAAAGTCACACTTAAATCAAAATATAAAACTCCAGTTTTCCATTAGTATTATAATTATACTGATAGTTCAAACTTTAAATTGACAACCAAAATATTGCAAGAAATTGACATTTTGTTATATCATCTATCCTAGATTCCAGTAGCATTAATTTTATTATAAAATAGTTAGTCTGACAGAGGATTCTGTTGTCAAACCAGAAACCAATAATTTTCCACAGTTAAACATAAACTGTAACATGAACATTCCTTATTCATTTCCGATTATGTAATACACATACTATTGTTATGACTGATCACATGCCATACTGCCTATACACAGACAATGCCATAAATATTGTGATGTTGATCACATAATCATCAGATGTAGAGGAGCTTAGGCTAAATTATACTGCATGAATATGACTGACAAACCTTCCCTAAAATCAATACTACTGTTTGCATTATAACCATGTAACATGAAAGTACAGCTGAGTAACCCAAAAGTCTGGTTAGTTTATCTGTCTGTATACATAGGAACACACCAATTCAGTCAAGTTACCCAAAAGTCTGGTTAGCTTATCTGTCTGTATACATGGGAACACACCATTACAGTCAAGTAACCCAACAGTATGGTTAGTTTATCTGTCTGTATACATAGGAACACACCATTACAGTCAGGTAACCCAAAAGTCTGGTTAGCTTATCTGTCTGTATACATGGGAACACACCATTACAGTCAGGTAACCCAAAAGTCTGGTTAGTTTATCTGTCCGTATACATAGGAACACACCAATTCAGTCAAGTAACCCAAAAGTCTGGTTAGTTTATCTGTCCGTATACATAGGAACACACCATTACAGCCAAGTAACCGAAAAGTCTGGTTAGCTTATCTGACTGTATACATGGGAACACACCATTACAGTCAGGTAACCCAACAGTATGGTTAGCTTATCTGTCTGTATACATAGGAACACACCATTACAGCCAAGTAACCGAAAAGTCTGGTTAGTTTTTCTGTCAGACACCATTACAATTTAATAAACAAAGATAAATATTATTGCAAATAACCCATATGCTAACAATGAGATGATGTCAATAATCATATGTTTACAAGTACAGTTACAGAGTTATATGGATACAGGCAGAGTATATATACATGTATATATATGCAATGGTCTTATTTGTGTTGTCATAAAATGATAATGAATTAATTTATTAAAAGTGACACTTGCTGTGCAAAACCTAAAGAATATGATGACACCCAATTAATGAAGACATACAGATATTATACAAGTATAAAAGGACAGATATTTTACTGAAATGAAAAAAGAATGCATGATTTTCATGCATTACATGCATTCCTAAACATTTTGACTGCATAATTTCTCGAATCCTGTTACCATTTCGATTAAAAAAAATCAGTCTGTAGGGAAATTAAATCCATCTTACCGTAGAGGTATTATATAATAATAATAATAAATCCAGACGAATTCAGATCATAAAAAAAATGTAACTATCAAATAGAAATTAAAATATGCACATATGAATATGAACATATATATATATATGCATGATAAAATCATACATGTTCAACAGACCATTCATGTTGTACAAACTGTTTCTATATTTTATAATCTTACCTCAGCAAGACGTTTACTAGATTTAATTCGGTAATTAATTGTGATCTTTATCAGATATTAGGAAGAGGATTATCAGCACAATGTATAGAAAATAACCCTCACATTTAAACAATAATCAAAGGAAACGAGGAGTGGTTACACACTGAAAAGACTGTCTTTGTGATCGAGCTGTAATCATAAACAGCTGACAGCGGTATAGATTACCTATCGAGAACGGATATTATTGAATACACAACGGAAAAGGTAACCTTACCTGTCCTCTTGAAACTCGGATGGCGCCCGCTTCGACTTTGACAGACTATCAATCCGGGAATATCCTTCGCCTGCAAAAGAAATATTACGTGTAGTCCATACAATTAACAATGATTATCAAGACTCGTTAATTTTAATTTACACCGATAACTTACTTTTGACAGACATCTTTTTTTACTGGCGCGTAACTCCTCGCGCGTGGCACACGTTGTTAAGGATCGTTGTCAATGACGCCTTTCGATTGTTTCCATTGGTCATTCTCACATCGGCGGAAGCTCTAAATCGAAAGTAGACTATAAAGTATGGTGCTTATCCGCTCTTAAGATATAATCTGACAATATTTACAGAATTTTTGTACTGTCGGTCGATTATACCAACAATCAGTACGATATATCCGTGTAAACAGAGATAGTCCCCAGACAGTGTTACCAGAGTGTTACCAGTAACACTTAACGTTATGGATATCAGACGATAGGGTGATTTAAATGCCTGACCGTCAACAGAATAGTATCGTGATTTTGACGCTGTTTTATATTAATTTGTCTCTATGTGAGAACAATAGCCTTTTATACTGACACAATAGACTGCCTATGTGTTGACTACATTGCTTTAACAAAGAAAATCACTGCTTCATTTCGTCGATTCTGGTCCATTTGTAAAGGTGTGACACAATCGATACACTCGGGCGGGAGTATGAAGACAATACATTAGTGGGCAACATTATACACTTCAAACCATTATCAAACTATTTTCCATTGTACAGGATTTTAATAACTGTCAAATACCATTTATGGTTGAGGTTCAATTGATCTATAAAATGTATTAAGTGCTACATTTATATATATACATGTGTTTGACCATTACATTTGTAATATATACATTCTTAACAGGTCGGTGTATATCTATATATTTAAGACACAGTATTCATTTTGATAGCTGTTCTGATATGTAGGGGGTATTATAAAAACGTTTTATGTTTTAAATCAACATCTGATAAAATATCTGACCATGTAGATCTAGTGTAAATTATTTGAAAACTATTTTATTGACAATTAAAAAAACATGTAATACTTAATTTTCTGCTAAAAGTCCCTATATACTGCATGTCATTTGAAAATCTTCCTCCCACCTCAAACAGCTTGAGACCATTGCAAGAGCAAACATTCAGGTGACATTAGGTTGTTCCAGAAATATCCCTTGCTTTAATTTATAAAGATAAAAACATTTTCATACCTCAAATATTGAAGAATTGTTATAGCCAGTATATTTTGAATGTAAAATAAAGGTATTGAACAAAATGTTTTAAACATTCAAGCGAGCAGGTGCACAAACATAAATGTTTTCATTTTTTAATCAGTTTAATCCGTATATATATATTCAATATAACACCATGCATACAGAAAAGGAAAAGAAATACACATATATTTACAATATCATAAGACAACAGACTTTGTCTATATCAGTCTTTTCCTAAGGCATTTTCATTTCTATTAAACAAACCCCCTGATACATCCTTGGACACCCCTACACATTTGATCAGAAACGTCTCAAAATATCTACTTTTTTTATTCTCATGACCCTGTGTTGCCTTCCTGTTCACCATATTGTCTATCACTATCTTCGGGTGTTTGAAAGACCTGTGAAAATCCTTCAACTTTCATCAGCAGCATTTTTAAACACAAAGCTAAAATACAGTTAATTTTACATGTCCAAATTAATTGATCAAGAAAAACCTATTAATTCCAATCTGAAAGTTTTTGTGTAACATGGTGCATACAAAATTATCAGGGCCAAATTTCAGCTCACTTGCAATTTTCCAAGTCAAAGGTTCTGGAAAAAAGGGTTGAGATATTTTGATGAAGGTGACAGGATACGTATCGTACTTAAAAGTCACCGACACATCACACAAACACTAACTGGTTGTGATACATAACCTTTCTACTATGTTCAGATATTTTGTTTTCAATATACAGTAACTGTTACCTGGTACATCACAAACATTTTATTCAAGCGACTCATATTTGAATTTAGAATAAGCAATAACTACATTTATTCTAACTAATATTATGATAGCTTTTCATCAACACAAAACCTGGAAACAGTCCTTCATAGAAATAAAACATGCCAATTATAACCAGTGTAATATACAAAATATATAAATTCATTTATTCCTGCTTTTTTTGAGAGAAATTAAGCAAATTCCATAATTTTTTCATGATGCACCTATTCTCCAGTCCATTTTTATGGACCGAGTGTCATTCCAGCACTTTTCATGGCCTACATCTGAAATGTGCTTTATGCAGGATCACACATTAAAAACGTTTAGTTTAATCTTATAGCTAGTGTTGTTCTGATTAATCCATTAAATCAATGATTAATCAATCATGAATTTCTATGATCGATCATGGTTTGACTACAGCATGAAAACTTTCAACATCATGAAGAGTTCTGGACATGAGGAGCCGGCCTGAAAACTGACATAAATGACCAGTTTTACCAGTAATTAGTTTTACCTCAAACTGCATTCAAACATTCACCACATTTTACCTATTTTGGTGAATGCTTCTCTTTTCATTTTCATATCATTTTATGATCGATCATTAATCAATCATAGATCATTTGGGATAATTGATCAGAGATTTTGAAGAGATTCCTAACATTGCTAATAGCTATCTGGTGTATACAGGTTTTGGACATGACCTGTTCAATTTCAATGTGATGAAACAAGTTCACATAATAACATTTTCCATTTTCCATCTGTAACACTGTATAGCTAAATAGGTCAGTCATGCATCATTATAAAATTGAACCAATAACATTATAACATAGTACCGGACAGAGTTTCAATATTTTGAAGAATTAAATCAATCATCAAATGCTATATAGCTCTCAATTATAATAACTTAACCAGAATTTTACATTATCATTATTACCATTTGTTCCAGGCCAGCGTCCTTGTCTTCAAGCATTTCCCCATTAATAAAGTAATTACATTCGACGATCAATATTACTTCTTTCCTATGATATGAAGCTTTTGATCTTTTGAACACAATGTGTACCCTAGTGTAGTGAATGAATTAATACATGAAAATCTTAACCTTTTTTCAAACTTATACTTTGGCAGATGGAGATTAAAAAAGACATTCCTCCTTAAAGATGCCTTTGAACTCTTCCAATTCAAAGGTTGGAATAGTTTATTATAAAATAGTCAAGAACATGTTTTTTACCAATGGATTCCAAATATCTTGTTCCTTTAATGATTTTTTTTTTATTTCAGTCACAGATATGTGATCACTGTCTAGACAGGGTTAACACTAGGACTGTCTCTAGCCTTTATGTTAAATCATAGCCAGTGTCTACAGCACATGATCATACACAAACTTGTTTCAAAATACTTTTAATAGGAAACTGAACCAATGTAAAAGGGTTTTTTATTACCTAAACGATGTATATATATGGACATAAGGGCTATCCCAGAAAGGCCACTTATTTATATTCCCGGGGTTTACTATGCAAATACATGTATCAACATAATTTTTTCAGATCCTGATGATCAGCCATATATTATTATCTATAATAATACACCCCCCACCCCCCACCCCCATATATTTATATCTGGCATAGTCCCCAAGTGCTTTGGGACCACTAAGTATTTTTTTCTTTTTAGAATCATAACATTTGGTAGTTTAATATTTAATATGTTTATACTATATGATGTGTTTTCATTATGAACTAGGAAGTAATTTAAGTCTGTTACTGCTAAAAATTAGTACGATTTATGTTTTTGAAAAAGTGGAATAAAAATGTTTGATAACCCAACACAAAGATCCAACCTCCTACGACCAATGGTCTGTGTTCTGTCCGGTACAGGAATCAGATTTATATTTTTGTTCATATCAACCTATGGGTACTTTGACCCAAAAATTACCTCAGCTGTATGACTAAATGTTAACAAACATCGTTCATAAATGCCCAACTTCATTTTGAACATTTTTAGTTAATGGACTCCGTATTTGTATCTTTAGAATACACAGGATAACCTTATACAATGTACTTGTAATATTCCACAAATCTTATCAGTGTATTAAGGTAGCACGTACCACTACATCAGTAATGATAGTGCAGAAGAGTTCCACTATAAGTTTTTCTGACTTAGGATAGTCTCCCTTCTATATAGAAGATGAGGCATTGAAAAGGATTTTTTTTCTGGCATTGAGTCACTTCATCTGTCAAGTTATGTATCTTTAAGTGTTCATTGTTTTTAGAATTCCTAGATGGCAGCATTGGTCAAGTGTAGGATTTGCAATGTAAAGGTTCTGAGTTGGACCGCTGCTGTATTTCACTTTTCTATATTTTTTTTATTTTTTTTTCTATTTTTCAAATATTCAAATATTCAAATTTTAACAAATATATTTTTGCAAAATGCATCGCAATGTCTTTTTTATGAAATAATTCTTTTGAAAAAAAAGTGGCAAGAGCAATAATTCTAGTTTAACTTGTTGGTGCCCTTTACCTGAAATCTCTACAAACCACTATTTTACAACTTTTTAACAACTAAATGTAAAAGACAACATAAAATAAGACATCATGACAATTTTTATTAATAATAATTTATCCATATCAATTATAAAGCAACAACTTGCAAGAATGTATACGGTAATGATTCACTGAACAGAGCTACAAAACTTACCATCTCATAGCTACAAAACTTACCATCTCATAGCTACAAACCCTTTCTCTACAGCTTGACCTATGATCTCACAGTGAAGCCTTTTTTATAACTAATTAATGAACACAAACAATAGCTAAATGAGTAAGCACAGGGACCAGACACAATGATTACTGATAATGGTTATATCTATATATATCTATATATATCGTTTCCATGATCATCAACAGTGTGTCAGGCTCCTGTGTGAATAGAGGAAACCACCTTGGTTCTACAGTAAAGACAATAGTTACCATTTTCACTGTGTCCGCTTGATAAAATCCACTCAATGCCTGTTAACCTCTCATAAATACAATATTTTTCATAGCATAAAAACGTACAGGGAAGCTGTTAAAACCACATAAACATCAACTGTGTTGTAGCGAAATAACTTTTTTTGTTTGCAAACATGAATTTTGAACTTGGGTCCTCAGGTGGCAGGCACGTGAGATCACTGCTTACACATGTCTACTGACGGGCTGGTTGTAGCATACACCATATCTCATGTGTCTCCCCAAAGAGGTCAAAGGACAAGAAACAAACTGTTAATTCAAATATAAAACTAACTCTTAACATTAACTAAAAATTGAGATCCTAAAATGTAAAATAATATTAAATTAGCATCTGGCAGTTTTCTGTTGACTAATGATTAGAAGCTTACCATAAATAAATATATACACATATTTTAAGTCATATATCACATGCATGGAATAGGACTTCATTAAAAATCTCTACATAAATCGTGCAATTCAAACACACCTTTTTGTGTTTATAGTTTCTAAGTGAGGAATGAGTATAATTATAGCTTTTATCTGATACAGGTTATACTATCATTTAAACTCCATTTTTGTCTAAGATTCATAAGGACAGTGTGCTCTATATTTAACCAAACATCATGCATATTCATATTTTAAATGAGCAGCTTTTTAAGTAATAAATAACTTAAATGAAAATGTTACAATGCGATACGATGAGCAAAATTATGTTACATAAAGAAATTATACTACTGAACATTTTTGTACACTGACTAAATTTTAAACATCACAGATGTCAGACCGATTCATGCGATCTTATATTATTTAAACTAATTAATTGTAGATACATGTACATTTATATAGGAATATAAGGCTGCAGCTCAAAAGATATAATTCCACACCAAATATAAGCAAATTGAAAGAACAATTCTGTTCACCCTTTCCATACAATAATGAACGTGCCGATTTATCGATGTAGACCAGTTCATTATTGGTTAAAGGGTGGTTTGATATATAATGACATGCCACTGATGAAGAAACACATTTTTATGTTACATGTATAAAAAGCTACATCACAATGTATTATTTCCAAGAAACACTGACGAAAAACTTAAATATTTCTTTATGAAAAACGATACTTTAATACACACAGTAAATATTATACATTAATGAACATTAACTCTTGTTTCATGAATTTGTAATTCATAGAATACATTCATGAATTCCGTTTATTATATTATACTCATGAAAAGTGTACAATTGATCAAATGCTTTACAAATACAATTTGACTTTACAAATGAACCACACATTTACATATAGCTAGACACTAATGAATATGTATGATGAAAAATAGCACATATCCAGGTCACTTGAGGAAGATCAGTACATAAGGCATTTACAAGTTTAATAATTTTTATGGCTACCTCCATAACACAAATTGTCCACATCTTTGTACGACATCAAAGGAAAAAGTATTTTAATATCAGATCCTCAATTTAGTTTTCAGCGACTTTATTATCATCACACGTTTGATATATCACCCTATCTGGCTAGAATAAGCGACTATAAGGTCCTTTATAAAAGATAGTCATACGATTCAGACCTAGCTTTCAGGACCCATCTTATCCGGTGCTTCCTATAATAACTGATCATATGCCACCTGGCTAATACCTCCACATTCATGTGTTCTGGAGTCATACTGGTATATGTTCTGTGATAGGACCTTTATTCTACCACAGTGCTCTCTCACCTGCGACAGCAAAGACACTGTGGCACCCACTCCAGACCATTTAACACTCCACATGGGTTACAAGACCTCTTTTGGATATGAGAAAAACATTTCCTCTGAAAATTCTTTCATTTGCAGGATTGAAGGCTGTTGTTTAAATTACTTGGTACAGTGTTAACATTGAAATTTGGGGTGGTCTGGTGGCGCAGTGGATAGCGCACTTGCCTTTCACCAAGGCGGCCTGCGTTTCATTCCCCGATCTGACGTGAAAAGGTATGAGGTTACCTGCCTGACCATGTGGGTTTTCTCCGGGTATTCCGGTTTCCTCCCACATTAAAAACCTGTGCGTGCTAACATCCAGGCCAACAAGAGTGATTAATATCAGTTGCAATAAAAAAAATCATAGTTGTTGTAAAATAAATAAAGTTTATATTTATATTTAGAACATTGAAAATTCTGTTGTTTTCATTGTAAATGACAAAGTTGTAATTTTGTTTTAATTCCAATGATTCAAAATGTCACATGTGTGAACCATCAAGTCTCTTGTTACCAACAAGTTAGCAAAGAGTTTTCCTTTATTACCTTAATCAATAGAGCACTAGACTAGCAATATGTTACATGTATGCCGGCTAAGATTCTGGTGTAAGTTAGTAAAATAGTGATCTCATTTATAGATACTGTCTCCAATATGGGGACCTAGGTACCATGTACATGTAACTTAATAGGGTTGGACTCGAAAGTCTCAAGGACGAGATCTCTCCAAAGAGGTTATAGTGTATGTCATGGAGTGTACAATCTAGTTGCTTGTTACTGACTAGAAAGAATTTCTCTTCAGATCAATTGGTAGAGAACTGGACCAATAATCTAGTCCTTAATGTAACTCATAGCAGAGACACGAGGAATATCTATATAAATTAGAACGATCACCAAAAACATCAGAAAAATTTACAATGAAACATAGCATAAAAATAACCTTCAAAATGTTTTCTGATGACAAATATATGAAAAACTTATTATCTTTAGAACCTTGTTTAATAAGTCAGGTAGTTTTGAATTGCAGAAAAAAGGTCTGGAAAGACAAATTTTAGGAGTAATTGAACAAATGTATCACAGCACTCAAAACTCATTGTTGTAACTTCAGAACACAATATTTTTGAGATTACTGCAATCGAATGCACCTTAAGGTTTGTTCACGTGCACCTGTAAATCATATTTATGTTAAAATATTGTGTTCAAAGTCCAGTACCTTCAATTTAAAGTTGAGCAAGTAATGGCAGTATTCAATGTCGACTCTCAATTTGTCAAGCAATATATAAAAAAAAAATAAAAAAAAAAAATATATTGTGATACTCAAAGATGTGGACAGATTGTGTAATGTCTGATAAACAGCAACACAGACATTTGTACGCAACAGAGACATTTGTACAGTATAGTGACAGTTGTATATATATATTTTTTTATATTTCATTCAGCACTATAAGCAACAATCTTTCACACAGTGTATTTACACATAAAATCTCCAGGAACTCCTATCGGTTGATTGAACTTATTCACCCCTGAAAACACATTTGAACTTTTCCAATCCAAAGGTTAGAATAGTTCATTATAAATTTTCAGGGGTAAATAAGTAAAAGATATATGCTACTTTACTGCCTCCTTCTTTCAAAAGAGTTGCACATCAAGAAACATACAAAATATAGCTCTCTTGTTGGTATGTTGATGACATTTGTTAATAATATCCAAAAATGTATGGGCGGTATACATTGATTTACTAAAAGTAATTCTAAATCAATAGACAATGATTGTAAAAAGGTTTAAAATTAAGATATTCTACATATTCTTTTAGTTTTCTAAATGCTTGCCTATCATGCAATCATGCAAAAAGAACACAACCATACATAAGTTGTTTTTGAATTAACTCTTTCACCCCTGAAGACACATTTGAACTCTTCCAAATCAGAGGTTGGAATAGTTCATTATGAAATTTCAGGGGTGAATGAGTTAAAACCAGACTGGTACCGGTATATCATTAGTGAAATAAAAATGGATTTTTTATAGATTGTCTTGTGAACGAAAATGAAAATTCATATCTTGCAAATACAAATGTACATAAGTACCTTATAGTAATCGAAGATAAAAGAAAGAAACATATCTCCTCATATTTTTATAATCAAGGGGAGATAATCCATCATCAGTGCTTGTAATGTAAAAATATGAACTGTTAATTGGGCTGTGATAATTTTCTATAATTTTACAATTTTACGAACATGTTGAAATTAAAATCTATTGACCTGGAAAAATTATATTAAGTACCACACCAAGGAAAATAACGACTGGAATTATGAAGAATTTTCATGTTATTTCAGACAAATATTTTTTTACATATTTCTGTACAAGTTTCTTATATATCAGAAAGCCATGCATAGAAACATGATAATACCGACTCCCTTTCTATAGAGCAAATCGTGATATGCAACATAACAAAGCTAGGTGACTTGCTGTTAGAACAATACCATGGAAAATAATTCCATCACTATTCCTTTCACTGCATTATAAGCGCCTTACAGTCGAGGTTTAGTCTAGCTTTTTATTTATCGTTCAGGTAGGTTTTCATCGCACATATCAAGTTTTAAATATCAATAAAGCAGAAAAAGCATGTAAAATATCCCTTGATTGAACACAGGAGGTTATAAATGCCATGTGGTGAAGGAATAACAGTAAAATCCACAGAGATATTTGGGCTACGTGACAGTTCAGCTGTATAGTCCACAGAGATATTAGGGCTACGTGACAGTTCAGTTGTATAGTCCACAGGGATATTAGGGCTACGTGACAGTTCAGCTGTATAGTCCACAGAGATATTAGGGCTACGTGACAGTTCAGTTGTATAGTCCACAGGGATATTAGGGCTACGTGACAGTTCAGCTGTATAGTCCACAGAGATATTAGGGCTACGTGACAGTTCAGTTGTATAGTCCACAGGGATATTAGGGCTACGCCACAGTGACACATATGTAAACAGTAATTTTTCTCATATTAATGTGGTATAAGCCGGGGAAATGAGAGGTAGTAAAGTAACAAATGACAGATTATTTCTGAGTTGTGTGGAAGTGAACTTTACCCATTCATGCTGCATCAGTGTTATAGGGCAATTAAAGGTTCAATACATGTAGTTTCAATTATCAACATTTTAAAAACACCAAAAACTTGTGTTCTGATAAAAATAGCAAAGATTTCTGCCAAGTAACATAGGGTAACTGAGTTTGCAGATTATGTGTGAGCCATGTTACAAGACACCAGAACACTACTTGGAATTATAAGATAATGGAGAACAATTTCTTAAAGGAGAAAACATATTGACAAATGACAGGGGTGTACTTTTTCACAAAGGGGAGGTAATTCTAAGACTCTAAAAACAAATTGCAGGTATAATATTTCAGGTAGCATGCAAGTGTATCCTTAACAGAGAACACAAATCACAGGACCGGTATAACTTTTAAGGTAGTATGCATTCTTAATGGAGATAACTCTAGCACAAATCACAGGTGTAATATTTCAGTTCACATCTAATCTTCAGGGAGATAACTCTAACACAAATCACAGGTGTAATATTTCAGTTCACATGTATTCTTCAGGGAGACAACTCTAGCACAAATCACAGGTGTAATATTCCAGGTAGCATATATCCTTAACCTGAACTTGTCATGGGCAGGAAAAAAATCTATTAATTTTTGAAAGGAAATATAAATGGATCATATGTTGGTCAGGACAGAATTATCATTTGGAGTTTTGAGTTAGGAGGAATAATTGACTAGCTCAACATCACAGGATCTGCTGTATTCAATGTACAGTGTTTACCAAAGTCTCCAAATGGTCACAGCAGAGCAGAGAAAGCTTGACTTTTATAAAGAGAACACTGCAGCGTCTTTTAACCAAACTTACAACACATAACAATATATCGGGTGGTTATGTAGGCTAATGCTACTGTACTTGACACATCAAACTGTTCTGTAACCAAAATTTCATCAAATTCTCACTTGTAGCACATTTGAGTGACTTTCACATTCACTCAATACACAATACATGTAGATTACAGTTACATTTCACACCGAGACAGGTGCCTTATATTAGGCTCCATTTTCCAATGCGGCTTGGAATAAATAACATGTTCAAGACAGGAAGGGTATTTTACTAAATTTGAGTTCTACTTCATTGTGGTATTTATATACTGGTTGTTACAACTACATATAAGGTGGTCACGTAGCCTAATTCTAGAGCATTTCGTACTGCTGTCTTATATCATTTCAAAGCGGATATATGAACTGTTGTTTCGTTACAATAAACTTATTATTTAATAACGAAACTATTACGTTAGTGTAGAGGATATTGATCCGGTACAGGAGAGCTGTCACTAATTTATCATTAAATGTATGAACTTGTATATTTATCAGAACAAAAATGTGGGATGGTAAAGCTGTCTATGAAGATTAAACTAAGTAATACATAAATTCCCAAAAATAAATCATTTTGACTCAATACTAGTGACACTATCTCTTGAACAAAATGGCAACTTAAACAACGGTTGTAAAATCTTCTGTATATATATGCATGTAGGATACTGGTATTAATGTATACATGGGCGAATTCATATGTAGGATAAACTTGTTTTAAAAAGGCCAGACAGAGGGATCAAATTTGTTGGGATGAAAATATACATTTTATAGTAAAAATTTGTAATATTATTACACACATGCGCAACAATGTTCCCACTGTTTTACTGACCCTGCTAAAACAAATGTTAAACTTCACTAACATTATATTGGACTGAACTGTATTTTGCTGCACATGTTGGTTCCTTCCTCACAAGACATACTGCATGAATTGAATTCTGATGAATAACCAAGGCAAAATAAAATTATTATTGTGGAGCTCAGGTTTCTCCATCTTCTTCACTAAAGTTGTTTCTTTTGACAGCTATATGACTCATCAGGGCAAGGTGAGAAAACAGGAATTTGTCAAACAAGTCAGAAAGTACCTTATTTTTCGCCCCAGTTATACGTTTTGCCAATGATCAGCCATATTTTCTTCATCAGACATTACGGAAGTGGTCAAACTTAACCTATGTTTCAGAGTCATTTACATATGCTTAAAATATGTCTCCACAAATTTATTTGTGAATGGATCAATGAACAAATAATATTTAGTATTTAAGAAGCACTACCTTTTGTTTAAGCTCTGCTACAAATACCTTAATGGATACATGAAATGACATGTGACATCACAGCTCTTTGTGGATTGGTTCAAAGTTTGGCCAACAGTTAACGAGGAATTTAAATTCAGAACATGAGTTGTGATACATCCTCCTTAATATCAAACAACATACTAAACGCAGCGTTAAACATTTTAAATGATCACAAAAATGATGTTTTCGCAACATGTAGGCTTATTTGCATAACAAGAACATTTCCATTATTATTCAGAGTAACACTGACATTAACACAGAAACTTGTTCCCACTTTGATACAAAAATCTTTTCAAGGTACAACAATCTTTGTATATTTACAAACTTCCGGGACTAGCAGTATATCATTATAGTCTTAAGTAATAAACCGTTTATATATTCACCACAGAAATATACAAGGAAAATATCCTCAAATGGAATTCATGCAAATTACTTTCTTAAATGTCACAAAAGGATAGTGTACTATGAATGTTACCCAAAGACAGTATCTCGAATTTGATCATAACTTTGGTGTAAATAATCAAAAGACATTTTGGAGATACATCAAATGCAAAGATTTATATATATCATTATGAATGCAAATCTTGGACAAACACGTTCGGATGTGAGATTAAAGAAATGCTGTGGACAAGTATCTTAAATGATTTGACATCAGGATGTGAAGATTGGATAATATATATTTAACATGACTAATTCTGAATACCAATTAATTTTCTTTAATTAGGACACTGGACAACATGTGACAATATACTGCCATCTGGATTATTTTTTAAATCTAAACCAAAGTAATACAATTAACTGAATACAAAACACTAGGCAAAACTAAAAACTAACAAAAGTAAGAAGTTTCAATCACCTATTAAAAGAGTTTTTTTTCTCTAAAATGACTGATTTATACTCCATTGACTTTAATCACTTGTAGGCGACACATTTTAAGGATTTTTGGTCCCTGTTTTATCAAAATGATTTGGCTTTCAATGCTGAACAGATGATGATACCCTTGTAGAACATCCACAATAGATACAAACAAATACACAGTATAACTGTTGAAATTACCTGCAGTTTAATGGGGGATTTCAATGACTAACAAACTGATTATTATAGGGCACCCACATCTCAAAGCGGGGCCCATATAACTATATTACCCAACCAAGATAATTCCAAGATCACACTTTTTCGTCCAAATCAAATATCTGGAAATGATTTCAATATACCATATTGAATGGATGTATATAAAGAGAAAATTTCAATGAAACGAAAGTCCAAATCAAAATTTGGAGTCCAGGATTGGGACTCAACTTCATGCCTCACATATATCTCTGTTGATTGACAGCTAGTAAAGTTACACAGTGTCTGTTACTTTTTTTTTTCTAATTTTATTTTCAATTTATTTACAATTTTATTTTCAATTTTAAGTCCTTAATTATAATTCAATTATCCTAAAATCTCTTTTTAGCATTCCTTGTACCCAAATATATAGCTTTGGTAGCACTAGTTCTATAAATCTGACACTCGTTTTGGTAAAACATAGCCGGCCACTTTACATGTAACACAGTAAACACAAAATTATCCTCTGAGAGCAAGTACACTTTCTGCGATTCTGAATATACAAGGTAAGCTGTAGTATTTGTAGACTTAAAAATTTCCAGCGATGAACACAAAAATTCAGCAACACATCCCACAAGTTCCTGAAGTGTGAGCGACAACAGCCAGTCAAAACTAGACTAGTATAACGCTTGTCACCTAATAATTTAATAAAGCAAATGGTCTGTCATTTTTTCCCTGCGCCCTTCCCCGGTTTCCATAAAGCACTTTGTATAGCAACAGCGTCTATAGATACAGAAATATGTTTTGTGGAAGAAATCTCTGAAAATCCTTTTGTACCAGAGTTGTACCTGCAACAGAAAACACAGATGTTAGCTAGAGGTATTGTATTCCTTTTTTTAATTTAAATTAATTTCCCTAAATGCTCTTTTAAACATTTTATTTTTATTTTTCCAATGTTTAGTATGTGAAACGACAAGCATTAAGCCTTTAAATAGCTAATTTAACACATACAATATAATTATCAGAGTATATCCTTGCCTTTTATTTAAAACATTTTTTTTATCCTTCCAGTACATTTATAATGATTCCATAAATGAAGGCCTGTATAATGTTTTGATTTCATGCATTTTTTTGCATAATAAAAAATAATAATGATAATAATTTGAGGTTCTTATATACTGCTTTATCGAAACCTAGTTCATAGGTCGTCTCAAAGTGGTTCACAAATTATTATCCGTGGTTATAGGGCCTTTGCAACCAGGCAATATCTTTCTCAACTCCCTGGGGAGCATACAGCCGGTGCTGCCAGTTCGGCACTCACAGCTGGCATTCTACAATTCTAGCACTGCCCAAACACCTACTCATTTACAGCTGAGTAGACTGGAACAAGCCAAGTAAAGTATCTTGCTCAAAGATTCAACACAGTGCCGTGCCGTGACTCAAACCCGCAACCCTTCAGTCACGAGCCTGGCGTCCTACCACTAGACTACCGTGCCTCCTAAAATACTGTTACTTTAATAATGATAGTCGCTTCTGTTGTGTTTAAGCCACCGATTCACCTTACTGTAAGACATTGTGTAAATCCTGATGCAAATATATCTGTACGAAGAGTAATCAAGGACATGATTTTGAATTGTTATCACAAATAGAAGACAGAAAATCTTTCATAACGAGAAAATTCCCCCTGCTGCAAACTAGATAATATTGCTGCATCTTCAACACAGTAAAAAGAAGCATATATTTACTTGTAAAACTTCTCTATCATTTTGTTTGTGATCTGTTTGGGTCCTATCCCGTGTATCTTGTAGATATCCTCTGTCTCAGGGTAGTACTCATATACACTGCGGTACTGACAACTGTGGTCTCGGAACAAGATGATGAAGTGCTTCGCATCAGACTTGGCCATCTCCTACAATAGAAAAATGTAAAGCTGTAGAATTTGCTTGCTTAATGTATCAAAGTGATTGTAAGCCTGTGTTTTTGTTTCACAATTATAACTAATACTATTATCCATATGTTGTAAAGCGCTTTAGAGAAATTTAATGTTGTACATATTTATTTATTTTTTTGAAATAACACTGACAGTGACATATCCTCTTGCCTTAAATATTTATATAATAAAATGTCCACACAAGAGTTTTCCTAATCATAACCATCTGTTTATTTACAGCACTTGTCTACCTAGACTACTTTCCCTTGATAGAAGGTATATTTTTGAAGGCATTCATTGTCAAAATAACTTTTTGTTTAGATAACAGAGAAAATATTATGATTAGATTTTCTGTGTGTAAAAGTGGATGTAAAATTAGTTTAGTATAGTTATGATTTGTCATTCACATGCATGAATAGTGGAGACACAACACCTCCATGTGTACATTTGAGTCCTATCTGAAAAATTACTGGTTACAAGTGCCAAAGAGGAGCCATCTTGGAATAGTTACAAGTGTCAAGAGCAGCCAACTTGGATTGAACCCAGCCACACTCTTGTAAGGCTTTGACTTTACTACTGGGTAAGTTAATATCAGTTCAACAGAATGCAGTCTGCATAGTAATTGCAGATTCTTACAGGGCATCTTACTTGGGACGTCTGCATGAAATGTCATTGGCTTAATTACTAAACAACAGTACCTCTAAAACCTTGGCCTTCAATTCCGAGTTGACACAGCCAGCCAAACAGCAATGGCTGATGGCGTTGATAATGATGTGTCGGTTCGACTTGGAGCTGGGCTTCACAAACAACTTGGGCCCTGTAAAGAAACGTAAACAGGAGATAATAAATAACTCCAAAACCTGAGACCCTGTGTTACTTGTACTTCAGGTTTTTTTAACCTATGTAACCTTGGAGCTGATGTTGGACCCAGTATTAGATCTGGTACTATACTGTACTACTACTTACCTGCGTAGTCTGAGCCCGTGTTAGAGCCGGTATTAGAGCCAGTATCTCTACTCTCTGTGTTACTAACCTGCGTAGTCTGAGCCCGTGTTAGAGCCAGTATAAGGGCCAGTATCTCTACTCTCTGTGTTACTTACCTGCGCAGTCTGAGCCCGTGTTAGAGCCAATATTAGGGCCAGTATCGCTACTCTCTGTGTTACTAACCTGCGTAGTCTGAGCCCGTGTTAGAGCCGGTATTAGAGCCAGTATCTCTACTCTCTGTGTTACTAACCTGCGTAGTCTGAGCCCGTGTTAGAGCCGGTATTAGAGCCAGTATCTCTACTCTCTGTGTTACTAACCTGCGTAGTCTGAGCCCGTGTTAGAGCCGGTATTAGAGCCAGTATCTCTACTCTCTGTGTTACTAACCTGCGTAGTCTGAGCCCGTGTTAGAGCCGGTATTAGAGCCAGTATCTCTACTCTCTGTGTTACTAACCTGCGTAGTCTGAGCCCGTGTTAGAGCCGGTATTAGAGCCAGTATCTCTACTCTCTGTGTTACTAACCTGCGTAGTCTGAGCCCGTGTTAGAGCCGGTATTAGAGCCAGTATCTCTACTCTCTGTGTTACTAACCTGCGTAGTCTGAGCCCGTGTTAGAGCCGGTATTAGAGCCAGTATCTCTACTCTCTGTGTTACTAACCTGCGTAGTCTGAGCCCGTGTTAGAGCCGGTATTAGAGCCAGTATCTCTACTCTCTGTGTTACTAACCTGCGTAGTCTGAGCCCGTGTTAGAGCCGGTATTAGAGCCAGTATCTCTACTCTCTGTGTTACTAACCTGCGTAGTCTGAGCCCGTGTTAGAGCCGGTATTAGAGCCAGTATCTCTACTCTCTGTGTTACTAACCTGCGTAGTCTGAGCCCGTGTTAGAGCCGGTATTAGAGCCAGTATCTCTACTCTCTGTGTTACTAACCTGCGTAGTCTGAGCCCGTGTTAGAGCCGGTATTAGAGCCAGTATCTCTACTCTCTGTGTTACTAACCTGCGTAGTCTGAGCCCGTGTTAGAGCCGGTATTAGAGCCAGTATCTCTACTCTCTGTGTTACTAACCTGCGTAGTCTGAGCCCGTGTTAGAGCCGGTATTAGAGCCAGTATCTCTACTCTCTGTGTTACTAACCTGCGTAGTCTGAGCCCGTGTTAGAGCCGGTATTAGAGCCAGTATCTCTACTCTCTGTGTTACTAACCTGCGTAGTCTGAGCCCGTGTTAGAGCCGGTATTAGAGCCAGTATCTCTACTCTCTGTGTTACTAACCTGCGTAGTCTGAGCCCGTGTTAGAGCCGGTATTAGAGCCAGTATCTCTACTCTCTGTGTTACTAACCTGCGTAGTCTGAGCCCGTGTTAGAGCCGGTATTAGAGCCAGTATCTCTACTCTCTGTGTTACTAACCTGCGTAGTCTGAGCCCGTGTTAGAGCCGGTATTAGAGCCAGTATCTCTACTCTCTGTGTTACTAACCTGCGTAGTCTGAGCCCGTGTTAGAGCCGGTATTAGAGCCAGTATCTCTACTCTCTGTGTTACTAACCTGCGTAGTCTGAGCCCGTGTTAGAGCCGGTATTAGAGCCAGTATCTCTACTCTCTGTGTTACTAACCTGCGTAGTCTGAGCCCGTGTTAGAGCCGGTATTAGAGCCAGTATCTCTACTCTCTGTGTTACTAACCTGCGTAGTCTGAGCCCGTGTTAGAGCCGGTATTAGAGCCAGTATCTCTACTCTCTGTGTTACTAACCTGCGTAGTCTGAGCCCGTGTTAGAGCCGGTATTAGAGCCAGTATCTCTACTCTCTGTGTTACTAACCTGCGTAGTCTGAGCCCGTGTTAGAGCCGGTATTAGGGCCAGTATCTCTACTCTCTGTGTTACTTACCTGCGTAGTCTGAGCCTGTGTTAGAGCCGGTATTAGAGCCAGTATCGCTACTCTCCGTCGTGGCCTTAGACCTCCTTCCTCTGTTGTATAAATCTACAATCACAAACATCAAATAATTTGTATACACAATTATCATGTCGTGAAAGCCTATGTCAGACAAAAAGAACACCTATAAATGCTGAGAGGTGAAAACGGCAAATAAGTTCTAACTTAATAATATATTCAAAGTTGGAAAGGTCAACAGAACACTGAACTTGATCCTGTGTTGATGTGCCTATAACTATAGTCACAGAAGTTACCTTGATGGTCAGGAACAGTTAAATTAACATCCAGACACCAACATGACCATCAATAAGGTTTTACTTAATTGTTCTGTCAATCTCAATCATTAATTTTTAACAACTATTACAACAAAAAAGAATTAACATAAATAAAAACCTATATGGAATATAATATCTTATTCTGAAAAATATAACCAGGTTCATTATATAACCTATTCATTCAGCTTGGTAGGGAAAACAAGAGGCCCAATGGGCATGCATCGCTCACATGGTATTAATCTCACACTTGTAATCTTAAAAATGGACTAAAATACAGCCACAGGCAAAATATCAGTGTTTCATTCATAAGAACCTATTAAAAGATTTAAACATATGACACCAGTGACCTTGAATGTCGAACAAGGACATAAAATATTAGGTTGAACAGAGTTTATAGTCTTCCAACCCAGCATGCTTCTGGAAAAATATCATTACCCTGGACCTTATGGTTATACAGAACAAACCATTTAAAGATTTAAACATATATTGACCACTGTGACCTTGAATATGGGCGAAGGTCATTCACTTGGTAGTCCTTCATCCTAGCATGTTAATGGCCAAATATCATCACCCTTGGCCTTTTGCTTATTAAGAAGAAGTCATTTAATGGTTTTAAACATATTTGACCCCTGTGACCTAAAAATATATATTTGAACTTGGTAGTCCTTCATCCCAGCATGTTACTGGCATTATCCTAGGCCTCTTGGTTATTCATAAGTTGTTTAAGGTTAAGAACATATTTGATGAAGGTCATTCATTTGAACAAACTTTATAGCCCTTCATCCCAGCATGCTACTAGCCAAATATCATCACCCTAGGCCTATTGGTTATTCAGAAGAAGTTGTTTAAATGTTTAAAACATATTTGCCTTCTGTGACCTTGAAAGTGGGTCAAGGTCATTCATTTGAACAAACTTTATAGCCCTTCATCCCAGCATGCTACTAGCCAAATATCATCACCCTAGGCCTATTGGTTATTCAGAAGAAGTTGTTTAAATGTTTAAAACATATTTGCCTTCTGTGACCTTGAAAGTGGGTCAAGGTCATTCATTTGAACAAACTTTATAGCCCTTCATCCCAGCATGCTACTAGCCAAATATCATCACCCTAGGCCTATTGGTTATTCAGAAGAAGTTGTTTAAATGTTTAAAACATATTTGCCTTCTGTGACCTTGAAAGTGGGTCAAGGTCATTTATTTGAACAAACTTGGTAGCCCTTCATCCCAGCATATTACTGCCCAAATATCATTACCCTAGGCCTCTCAGTTATTCAGAAAAAGTTTTTTTAAAGGTTTTAAACATATTTGACCCCTGTGACCTTGAAAGTGGGTCAAGGTCATTTATTTGAACAAACTTGGTAGCCCTTCATCCCAGCATGTTACTGGCCAACTATAATCATCCTAGGCCTCTTGGTTATTCAGAAGAAATTGTTTAAATGTTTTTAACATATTTGACCCCTGTGACCTTGAATATAAGTCAAGGTCATTTATTTGAAAAAATTCTGGCAGCCCTTCATCCCAGCATGTTACTGGCCAAATATTATCACCTTGGGCCTCTTGGTTTTTCAGAAGAATGTGTTTAAAGGTTTTGAACATATTTGACCCCTGTGACCTTGGATATATGTCAAGGTCATTTATTTGAACAAACTTTATAGCCCTTCATCCCAGCATGTTACTGGACAAATATCATCACCCTAGGCCTCTCGGTTAAAGTAAAAGGTTGACGCCCGACGGACAACGGACGGACGACGGACGCCGCACCATGCCATAAGCTCACTTGGCCCTTCGGGCCAGGTGAGCAAAAATGAATTTTAATATTTATTTCAGATAGAATATCTGAATGGTTGCTGAAATTTACCTGGACTTGGTGGTCTGCGGTGGGTGATACCTCCATAGGCCAGGGCCTTGCCATCAGCTGAGCTCGTCATCAGGGTGTTACAAGATACTGTTAACAGGGAAAACGAAACATCCAACATTCTAACTCATATACAGTACCAAATACAATAGTTCAGAATCGGTTCTTTTGATTCACTGTATAATTTCAAGTCGTTTTATTCGTCCCATGTTAAATGGTTTAAATATGTATTTTCTTGAATTAGAAATTCAATCTTTAGGTCATGATTTTGGTGTCAAAAAGTCTTTAACACCACAAGGTTCCACCAAGTCAAAACTATGTCATGCATATTTGTAAATATCACGAAAATGTTTTATTTGTGTATGCTAATTCTAAAATGGGAGTCATGATGATGTGCCCGACTCTGAGACAAATTTAAGGTGCTGGGAAAGCTGGTGTAGAAAACATTACATGTTATGAAAAGTTTCAAGTAGACAAATTGTCATACCTCAAATGGTTTAACAATAGGTAAAATTCAAAAAAATAATATATAAATAATGATTACACAACCAGGACTTTACTCTGTATTTTGAGAATTGTCAATTACTGGAAATACAAAAATAATAGTAGAATATCACAATGTCTTTCAACAAATTTTGTATTTGTTCTTTTTATCTATCACTTGCATCATTATTTTAGTGAGTACATTCATTTTTGAGGCTTTAAATTAAAATTCAATATGTGTAGCCTATTTATAGAATATCAGTGAATATATCATGTTAGCAAAATCTAACCAAAATTCAGATTTGTACAAAAATGTCTTGATACTATTGCTATTGAACGGCATCCAATATCAGACTCACAGGTTTGAATAAGAGCATCCTTTCATGAAAATATTTAAGGACTAAGTTTGTTCTGTCTGTGATGCTGCCTTGTAAATGCACCTGCACAGTAACTACTGTATTTTATATTTACAGATCCAGGTAATTATGGCTTGTTTTACAGATCCAGGTAATTATTGCTTGTGAATATATTATCAATATCAGTATTTATTCTGTATTTACAGATCCAGGTAACATTTGCTTGCTAATATATATCATCCATGACATGCTATGTATTATCAATATCAGTATTTATTCTGTATTTACAGATCCAGGTAATTATTGCTTGTTAATATATATCATCTATGACATGCTATATATTATCAATATCTATTAAAATGCAGGAGTCAGTATGCATACAATGATTTTAAAAGGGAGTGTTCTTCTCAAAACAATGCTGTTGTAGCATGAAATTTTTGTTACGGGATAACATGCTATAATTGCAATCCAGGACAGTATACATCTTAGGGGGAACGCATCATCTACAGTACCAGCAAGTCCTTGAAGGAAAGAGTTCCCTGTATATTACCTATGACTGTTGCAATGTTAGTGTCAATAATTAAACTTGATTCTAAACTTTAATTTTTATCTTAAACATGTTAAAAAACTTGAATATACAGAATTTGCCAGAACACGAAAGAGATTTTCTTTAGCCATGTAGCTCATATAGCCATTTCCGAATATTGCTTAGAGATATGTGATTATATCATATATACATTCCTTTAGTCAAGTATAACATTCCTTCAATAGTAAAGAGAAGGGTTTTTTTTAATTTACAGTACACACAAATAAAACATTTTAATTTTCAGACTAGAACAAAATGCTATGTACAGATATCAAAAATGTAAAAAATCAAAATCCAAACCAGAAAGCTTTTTTCAAGTCAACCATATATGGTATATACCTCAAATGAACCTGCAAAATAATGTTTCTAAATTATCACTTGGATTTAGAATTACAAAAGTAAAACATTTTAAAAAGATTCTCTAAAGTTTCTACCAAAAAGCAACATACCAGTAAAAACTGTTATACATGGCTCTGAATAATTAATCAAATTTTCAATTAATTTTACCTTACTACAAATAATGAGGGGTTTTTTGGCTTTTTTTTTGCAATTTTATGATAATCAATTATCGTAGTTATTACAGCATTAATGTTTTCAAAGGATTATTACTCCAAATAATCATTCTGATTTTATATCAATGTTAAGTGCCTCGTCTCTTATAAACACTAACTCTACCTCTTCACCATAACTTATTGACTTACTAGGAAAATTACATCTATTTATAGCCATTACAGCCATTCTAATTGTCCCTAATTGCTAATTGGAACTTATTGGGCAGAATACAGTAGTCCTAATTTCACAAATATTTAATTTATTAGCAAAATTACACCAAGGTTTAATACAAAATGCAGTATTATTGATCTACACATTTGTACATGTGCAATAGGTCTAGTCCTACATTACATCTGCTAAGTAGATCAAACACATGTGTACAGGACGTGTGTTTATATTCACTAGCACTATAAACCCTATACATTATTGATGATACTATACAGTACTTCAAACACCAGTGTCTTGTAGATACTCTTCACCCTTTCACCCCTATGTAACTTTAGTAGACTCTACCATGCATTGATATGGATGAGTCCATTATGGTCTACAGTGGTGAAAGGGTTAATATTATAATAAGGAAATAATAGCCATATTTATCATGCACTATTTTGTTATTTTTCAGACATAAAAATTGTGATAAAGTTTCCTCACTTCATTAATCTGGGCCTCAATTTTCAAAATACATTTATTTTTCAACCTTCTGAAATTGAACGAGCATTTTTCTCTTTAGATGATCAATTAAGTCCTGACACAAACCGTTTACAAGTTGAAATGTAAAGTTCAACAACATGAACATTTACATATATGTGTACAGAGGGGCAGGGCCAAAAAGGGTAAATATAGGTAAATCTTTAAAATCCTACTCCTTAAGTACAGGTAAACTTCCAGGTAAGCTGACAGTGCTATGTAGAATTGAGCCCTTGAAACTGATCATAAGTATTGTATGGAACCACTGTGCTGGAAATGACAGCAGGAATGTCATCATCTGAACCTATTTAATTATTACATCGATATAGTAATCTGTTAACTAAATTTACATGATGTACTATACCATATTAACTATATTACTGTTGATTAAATAATATACCAATGAATAAAACAAATACACCAGTGAATAAGCTACAATAATGAATAAAATAAAAATTAAATGATTCAATGAAAATATGAGAGAGGAAAGATGTTAAAGATAGAAGGAGGTCTGCCCCTTTACACACCTGCCTTCCTCATTTTGCCCCTGGGTGGTGCAAGCCCATGCGTACGTCTATAACCCCGCGCTGAAATGTCAGAGAAGTAAAATTGTGCAAGAAACAAAAACCAAACCAAAAGCAAAAACTTAAGATACTTTTCAAGGTTCTTCTCTCCCCCCCCCCCTCCTTAATGTCACTCCTCCATAACTTCTTCAACAAATAAGGCTACTTGTATATATTTTATATCTTAGCAGAAACCATCTTTAAGTTTGATACTTAAAACTTTGATTCATTTTTTTTTTCGATCAAAATGCAAGAAGGAAAAATTTAGAAGGGAAAAATATTAACATTTCATGGAATACTTTTAAATTTTACCTCTTACAAAATATTGAAATCATGTCTTTCTTACCCTGTATAATACATGTACAGGTATTTCCACTGTTGTATTGAAGTGTAAAACAGTTTATATTGAACTCAGTCTACATCAGGTTTCCCTTATTATAATGTTTATTTTCACCTTGAAAAGTCTCTTATAGAGTTATCCATTGACCAGCAAAAAACTTGAGCAAAAAAATAATAATATTAACACTGGACAAATATTACATTTACATGTACTTAACAATGCTAAAAAGTTATCACAATATTCATATTACAAGTTCAATAGTTCCATCAAAAAGCTGTCACATTTCACAAACAACATACCATATTTATCCTGCAATAAGCCCATGCCTGGTAATAAGCCCATCCCTATCTATTGCACTATAAGCGCTTACAAATGCTATTTCATTTGCATATAATAAAGTGACCTTCCTATTTTGAGTCATACCTTATGTGTAGACCCCGGGCTTGTTGCAGGATAAATATAGTATTTTACTGAAAATCACAACTCCTAGCACAGAGGACAACAGTTTAGCTGTTAGATAACTGAAAGTAAAATAGAATTTAGGTTCTTGTGAAGAAAAAAGCCATGATTTGACATTCATACAAACTCTGTCAATATTCAAATCTGTCAATTTCCTTTATAAAGTTTATTCACTGCACCATTCTCCTAAAATACTTTAAACGGTCACTGTGACCAACTCAATGCTGAATATATAAATGGTAATGATGACCTTTGGAACATCAAACAAACTTGCTCATAATTTGCAATCTGATCAAGTTAAGTTTTTTTGTTTGTTTTTTTTAACGTCCTACTCACAGCTAATGTCATTCAAGGACGTATTTGATAAAGTAATCGATCATGGAATAGTAGACTTACTAAATACCATCACACCTAGAATCTAAATGACAAATAGGACTTACTGTTATGTTAAGTTTTATCAGAGTTTATGTTTAATTTTTTCTATCGGAGAGGATTACATCTTGTGGATCAATTGTGAATTAAAAAAAAAATCTGACCAATCAAATAAACCCCTATCGCATTGATTGACAAATGAAATAGAAAAATAAAAAAAATAAAATAGTTCAGGCGTGCCATGCTAGTGATTCACATAAACTGAAATGAGAATAAGCAAGTGGAAACTTTTACAAGCCTTAAGCTTTATTTATTGGAAACATGATCACTACCAGTTGTGATAACTACACTTGTGTACAGGGTATCAGGAGGTTGTGTACTGGAAGTGTGATTTTCAAAATGCAAAACTATTAACAAATAATGCAAATAAACTTAGAATAAAATGGGAAACATTATATATGCCAAATATGCAAATAAAACCATGCAATGGAAAAGTTTGTGCAAAAACAACAGAAAAAAGGAGTAAAAATTTTAACCAAACACTTTTGAAGAGGTGAAAGCACAAAATGTTTAAAACATTCTGAGAGGGATGAAAAGGCAGAATTTTAACAGAACAGAGGAATTGAAATACACATTTTACAGAGTTTTCACATAACAAAGGGATGAAAATTAAAGACAACAGAACAGAGGAATGGAAATACAAAGTATTCACAGAACACAGGGATGAAAAGACAACAGAAATTTAAAAAATTAACAATCTGAAAGGAAATTCAGAATTTTAACATTGAAATTTAAAACTGGAATGACAAAAAGATTCTGAAAACTAGTCCAAACCAGCAAGTTTAAGCTGTAGATAAAATCTAGGCAAACCATAGAAACCACTAGCACGCTAACACACAACATCAAATCAAGAAAGGGTGTCACATTAACTTACACAAACATTCCAGATAGGTTATGAGTGTTAGCATTGGTGAACAAAGTGAACTGTTTTTATTTATATCAATTGTTTGAAACAGGAAAACAAATCGGTCAAATTTTGTCAGATTAACATCAACAGACAGTTCAATCATTTTCAGAGGTAGATTTCTTCAACTTCTCAATCATTTTGATTTTTAAAATTGAATTTATTTTCATTTCTTTATTACACTGGTACTAAAATGATTTTAAATATACAGATATACTCAACTATACCAATATCTTATAAAATATTTGAGAGATTAAAACTTCCTACTATTATACACTGAAAATGATTGAAGCTGTCATCAAATTCCAAACGTGATTTGTGAGCATCTAGCTAGATCTAGCAAGCTAAACTTACAAGATCCTGAATGACCAGGACTAATAGTGTAAGCTTGAGCAGAGAGATCCTCTTGGGAGCTATTTGAGTGCAAACCTTCATCTGAACCAGTTTTTATATTTGTTTTGGAAACATGCATGGACTTTGGTCTTGGTTTGGGCGTAGATTTTTCTCGACGTGGCGCCGGACGTTCAAACTCGTCGCCTTCTTCCTGCTCATGTCGTTTCTTCTCCTGATACTGGCGAAAGATCTGTTCCCGTCTTGCCTTATCATCCTGTTTCTTCCTCTCTATCTCCTCCTGTTTTATTCTGCAATAATATTTATACCACATTACATGGAACTTTTGCAAGGACCTTCTTTTGCAATTTGATGTATACAAATATTGCTGATACATGTACTAAGTGAATGTTGACCATTACTCAAGTCTTCGACTAGAGAAACCAGGAACACCCTGAATGTACAGATTCAACATTCCATGTTCCACTGTACTGCTTCATTATATTTACCTTATATAATATACATACCACATTTGACATCAGTAATAAGGGCACCTGCTCTAACAAGTGTGGCTCTAAGGGCTTTAAGAAATATAACTGAAAAACTTTCATAAAATTCCAAAATCTTTCTGTTTTATCATTTCTGCGAGTAATCTCGCACTCACCAAAATGGCACTGTACACAAGTACATTGAATGAAAACAACACTGTCATGGAACATTATCTGATGAAACGGTGATCATGACAATCTTTCAGAATAATACTAATATCACTCCATTAATGGGAAAATCAACAGTGAGTGAGAGGAAGACCTTCATGTTCTGCTGCAGTGGGAAAACAGTAAAAATACCAGGTATGTTGTTTAAGGAAAACATGTCTACTAGGTATGTTGTTTAAGGAAAACATGTCTAAAGTGATCAACGGATCATGAACGAAGTTTAAAATACTAAATCAAGTTGGGAAGTATCATTAAATATAAGGTTAGGAGTTAAGCTTTCGTGATACAAACCTTTCCTGTTCTTTCTTGCGGGCCATTTCCATTTCTTTGTAGGAACGTTTACGTTCTTGATCCTCTTTGCGTTTGATCTGCATCTGAATGATTTTGTCTTTTCTTTTTTGCATTTCATCATCATTAATCTGGTAACACAAACAGCAACATTTTAATTTAAATCATTTATCATATGGATTTGTTGTTGATTACCTTTCCACACCTAGCTACCAAAGCTAATAATGGTGATATTACGATACATGTACAAATATGATCAATCAGAATGGGAAACATACAAGATCCCCTGCAATAAGTGTAGAACAAAATGACCTACTTGCAATTGGAACCTTTCTGAGGAATTCTTGTAACAAAATTTATGAAAATACAGAAGTACAAAAGCATATACGATTAAAAGGAATTTTCACATACAGAATCATACATTTAGCTTATAGGACTGTCATTCATCAGATTCTACACTAGGTTTTCAAAGCAATATGACATTGCACAAGCCAAGGCCTTCATGTCCAACAGAAGATGATACCATGAAATGGAACCAGGTGTTGTCACAGCCTTATTTCTTCAGTCCATTTAAATTCTCTCATCTTGGTCTTGTGATCAGTCCCAAAAAACGATGTGCATAACTAGGGACAATGGGAAACCTTCATGTGGAATTTGAGAAAGACCCCTCCAGTCCTTTTGGATAAATAGCGCTAACAAGAATTGTTTAAGGACGGACGGAATGGCGTTTTAAATAGCCCACCATCTGATGATGGTGAGCTAAAAATTGATGTGTCAATCATCAACAAATGCAAACATAACAAATCACTTGTCAATATGGAATTCTCACCTGTTCTTGTGTGTCTTTTTCGACCTCAATTTCAAACCCAACAGGTGGCTCAGCTGGGGCTACAGGTTGGTCGTAGGCTGACCCACCGATCACAGGCTGCGACACATTCTGGTTCGGTGATGTTGACGGAATGTTCCATTTGGCATGTTGAGGTGAAACTGACCTACGATCACGAGTTTGACCACCAGGTGGCACTAAAGAGGCCTGACTAGATGGCACACTGTCCTGATTGGCTAAAGGATGCGGCTGGTCCTTACGAACACGCTCCTTTCCTAACATAGGTTTGGTTCTCTTAGGCGACCCGCCCCCAAACGACACAAAGAACCCACCATTTTGTCCCATAGAGTTCACACTACCACTGTCATCTGAGTGATCGTCCTGGGATTTGGTATCACCCATAGTCACATGATCCTGATCATCAGACTTACGCTGTGTCATTTCTGTCATGTTCATTTTAGAATCGCCAGAAGACGTGGGAAGATCAGTAGGTAAGGCTGGGCCATCTGCATGACCAGAGACAGCCATGTTGTTTGATGGAATGTTAGCAACAGAAGTTGGATGATACGGCTGGGCCCCAACATGGCTAGGTACTCCGCCGTGGTAGGAGGGCACAGTGTACGTAGAGGCTATGGGCGGGGGAGGCTGGAAGGGCTGCATACCAATGCCATAAGGGGACGACACGTTAGGCACACCAAACTGTGACCCTGGGGCCATATGTGGATGAGGGTACTGTTGTGGAAAGGCTGGAGAGGGTGGATACCCATGTGGAGGTGTGGGAGGGAACTGCTGTGGGGGGTAGGGTTGGGTCGGCTGAGCAGGATACCCAGAGTAGATCACAGGAGCTTGTGGCATGTTCACATACTGGTTCTGGCAGGTGTAGGCCCCCATAGGTAGTCCGCCATGCTGGGGTTGCTGATAGCCTGGTAGCTGTTGTAGAGATGTTGGATGCTGGGTGTGCTCACCTCCCATCCTACCGAGCCTCTCTGGTGTTGGCAGGGCTGCCTCAGAACCAGACAGTGTTGACACCGGATATCCTGGATGCTGAACTTTTGACTGATGTTGCGAGTTACCCTGGGCAAGCCTATCTGGTGTCTGCCTTGACACATCAGCATCAGACTTAATCCCTGTCTGTTCACTTGGTTCTCTATGAGGAGAAGCAGATGATCGTTCACGTGTCCGTTCATGCACAGACCCGGAGGCTGCAGCATTCATTTTAACAGACTTTAGTTGACCTTGTTGTAGATTGAGACGATTTATTTCCCCCTGGAGATCACACAGGCTTTGGTTTAACTTGTCAAGAGATTTATTGTATTGTTTGGGATCTGCCGTTTTGGCACTGCCTTCCTGAGGCCCTCTAGTCTCTGATGGACATGGAGGGCTTTCAGAAGCTACTACTCTCTGGGGAGGACTTCCTGATACCATCATCCTTTGAGGAGGACTTGCGGACATCCTCTGTGGTGGACCATCTGACAGTGACATTCTCTGTATAGGACTTTGGGACATCCTGTCATCTGATAAGGACATTCTCTGTGGAGGACTTTGGGACATCCTGTCCTCTGATAGAGACAACCTATGATGGGGACTTGGTGAGGATATCCTCCGCGGCTGACTTACTGGCATATATATATGTTCATTTTCTGACACTGAGGACGACGGAATTAGAACATCATCATCCCTAAACCATTTTTTCCGCACATTTTCTATTGTCTGTTGTATACCCTCTCGTGAGAAGGGCCTCTGTTGGCCACGCTCACTTGAACTGTCTCCTTGACCATGACGATCAATTTGTACTGTTCTGGTTCCAGGAATGTCACGGTCTAATGACCTTGTTTCACGGTCAAGTGAACTTGGACGACCACTGTCCATTGTTGAACTAAATGTTGACCTTGGGAGTGTATGACTACTGTAATTACCTACTCCTTCCACCTCAGGAATGCGACCGTTTGCAACATCCTCAGGTTTATCACTGCCTGGCTTTTGAATAACTTGTAAAAAGGCAGTTTTACCCATCCTCTGACGCATCTTTTGATGCTGTGCTTCCATACGATGTTTCTTTCTCTCAATCATTTTACGTTTTTCTTCCAGTTTTAGACGAATATGGAGCATGTCTGATGCTCCGGCCCCAACTGCGTCACCGTTCTCCAGATGACTGTGGTCGCTTGTAGTAGGTGAAGGTTCAGGCTGGTGTTGTGATGTCTGTTGCCATGTCATTTGATTTGGCAGAGCAGCAAATGTTGTCTTTTTCTCTGGCCTACTTCTGTCTGCTCTCTGGGAACTGAGTGCTGATTTCCTTGATTCCACGGGATCCTGGCCTTTTATCATATACACAAATCCTGAATTGTCTACCTGACCAATGTTCTGTTTCATACGTTTTATCTCGGCAAAACTTGTGGTGTTACTCAGTTTTTGATCCCCCACAGGAGGTATATGAGTTTTTATCACAAAAGGTTTGTTTTGCATAATTAATTTATCTGTTCCAGAAGAAGATTTTGTCAACGACGTCATTTTTTTTGAAACACGAGAATCAGATGATTCTCTATCCTTATGATCACAATGTATTTTGTGCGATTCGTGATCTGAATAATCTCCCGAACTTCGACTACTGGCTATGCTTCCCTCTCGCGACCCCCATCGCTGAAGAACAGAGTTACTATTACTATTACTATCACTGACAACTGGTATTCCGGCTGCTCGTGCCATTTCTGGTGTGAATGCTTGATCAGATATTGTGTAGCTGGTTTTCACGACCTCTGACCTTGAATCTCCTAGTGGCCGGTCCGACAGCCGGCCAGACTGAGACAAATCGGTCTGTACAGTGAAGGCGGCATAATTTTGTTGTGTCGATGGTGGCACACGAGGAGAATCAGCACAATCAGATATTTGATCTTCAGACAATGGGGTCACGACATCCCGAAGAGAACTGTCACTACTGTCACTTATAAAGCTGGATGTCAGACTACCTCGTATCGGCACACTGCCCTTAGGTGGTGACCCTGGTTTCCTACGTTCTCTATCACCTCTCTCCATTTCCTTACTTTGATGATTAGATTTCTCCTTAGCCGGTCGTAATTTTGCTGGAAGTAAAGGCTCATAACTTGTACGATTGACAGAGCCAGATTGGTTTACTCTACCCTCTGATTCAGTAGACTTTAACACATTTTGCGAGACATTCACCTCCTCTGACTGAGATGCCCGGAGTGTAGTGGCTCCGGATGTTACACTCTGAAGCTCCATGTATTCGGGATGTTGGGGATTTCGTAGATTTGATGCTGCAGAAGACATGCCATGATGCTGAGACAATGTTGGAGGGGGTGTGTTACTCTCACTGAGGTCACCAAGGTCCATACTTAAGCGGTCATCAGAAAAACTGTCGTTGAGATCACTGTCTATGCTGACATTGGCCAGGAGATTGCTGCTTCCTGTGCTTAGCTGGCTCTGACGCACATGGTCACCGGCCAGACTGACAAAGAAAAGACATCATGTGGTTAATATTTATACTTATAACTTTTTGACTTTTAAAAAAGTAACAATCAATTACTCCGTATACCTGCTTTTCTATTTCAACAAATACTGTAAAGTGCTTTAAATTTGCGGCGTCAATATTTCGCGGTTTCGTATTCAGTACATATTTGCGGGGGTTTAATTTCGTTATGCACCCGAATAACATGTGTCATGAAAAGTATTTTGAGTGTCATCATTAAAGGGTTAAACCTCGAAATATAGGTACAACGTTTGAAAAGATTGATCACGAGCGTCGTCATCCGCTAGTGACTTCACTCGAAATAAATCAAATGTGTATGTACCTTTGTATGAGAAACCTGTAATCAATGAATCACCTGTGTACACCTAAATATGTTGTGGCCTTGATTTATGGCACACTTGCATCATCACTTCATACCTTACAGCAAATTTCTTCCTTATTAGATAGCCAATTTATCGTTTTTAAGTTCATGAAAATTGATTATGATTATTACGAAATCACTTGAGTTTATTTTCGGACATTATTCACTCTCAGAAGCTTGTAAATCATACTTGAAAACAAATTTAGTCTTTTAGATATAAATTATTATCAATCACCATCTGTCAGATATTCTCAAGTGAAGACTGACCAAGGGACAGACAGATACGATTGAAAATGGGAATAGAGACAGATAAGGTTAACATATTTTCATTTTCTATAAGATGTACTTTCACTTTCTGTATAGATTTTCTTATTGGTTTTTGGGCGTCCTGCCAGGCTAAGACAGACAGATTGACTTACTTTCACTTTCTACATAGTTTCTTTATGTACTTTCACTTTCTATATATATTACCTATTTGGTTTCTGGGTGTCCTGCCAGGCTAAGACAGACTGACGGATGGTATCTCTCTCCTCCTGTCCACTCAGTGACAGGGAACGTCGAGCTTGCTTTTGCTCATGTTTTGACTGGGCATCTATCAAATAAAAAGAATAAATATCTCCATATTTTGAAATGTATGCTTCATAATATTTACAAAATTTTAACAATAGCTCCTACATCCAGAGAAACTTAGGTTACATTCTTTAAAGGACCCTGTCCCACTGCTGTGGTTTTTTGCATATGTACCTGTAGCACAGTTAGGCCAAAAGGCTTCTTTTGACCAGCTAGCTCAGTTGGTTAGAGCGATAGTATTACAACCTAGAATTCAGGGTTCAAATCTAGCCCTTCTAAACTTTTACACTCAGAACACTATTGCTGATCATATCATATTTTGTTTATTTCATCTTTATTATTTTTCATAAAAGTTTCACAAGGTGTTTTTTTTCAGAAAAGATTTATCAAAGGTATAGTTACGTCAGAAGCTAGTCAGCATCGTACATTTTGGAGCCTAGATAATAAAGGTGACGACAATGACTCAAACAACCTATGGCTTGTGTCAAAAACAGTTTCTAATGCATAGCTACAGTTTTTGGCAGTGGTACGGGATCCTTAACATGATGAAAATATACTGAAATTTATATGTATTCTAAATTTGTCAGGCACTAATGAGAAATTTGAGGCCAAGATGTTTTAGACATAATACTTGAAATTTGTGCTCGACAATACTGTTATTTTTTTTATATAAAGTAACAAACTCAACTAATGGCCCTGAAACTATTAATAATATACATGTAGTGTTCAGAATCTTAACTTTTACACTATAACAAGAACAATGGTACTAATAACATCTCAGGCAGGATTTTTATGCCAAGTGAGGAAAATATAAAGCTGGCACTCAAAACATGAAAAGTCCTTTTGTATAAACATTGTGGTTTTGGTTGTTGCTATGGAAACGCAAAAGTAAATACAACCAATTAGATTGATATATTTGACTACTATATCCATGCCAGTTAGTACAATGAAACAATCTAATTACAGCTTCAAACCATGAATGAAAATATCCTCAAACTTTTAATGTTCTACAGTATGGCCTACCATGTGTGGGGTCAGTTTCTATCGGGCCGCTGCCATAATGAGGCTGCTGTTGAAGTCGTTTGTGAAGCAGTGGTTGTCGTGGTGGCACAGCAGCCCCCATCCCCGGTGATGGTATTCCTACTCCCATTTCCTCTGAGGGTGATCGCTGGAAGCTCTGTTTTGTGACGTTACTGATGGGCAGGTTAGATATCCCGGCACTACTTAACAATTTTGCTGTGGCAGGTCTCGGAACTGTAAAGGAAATAGGGGCATCTTAAAATTTCTTTTGTACTTTAGATCAGTTAGCAAGTAATTTTAATTTATTATATCAGGGAATACATAATTTTTTCATTCCTTTTTTCTACTTTATTAATATGGTATTAACAGAACAATTGGAACATTTTACTGGTAAAACTTGACGACTTTCCTTACCATATTTTCCCCACAATAACATTACAGGACAATGAAATAACATTTGTTAGTATTCCTACTCAACTCCAACAGATGCGAGAGAGATCATTGCCAGGTACAGGCTTATTGAATAGTTAATTCTTCAATCTTTTAAAAGACAGGGACTGGGAGATTGGGGGACAGAAATTAATGGATATATGACACACAATGTCATGTAAAATTAGTTTATAATATGATGGACTATACACTGAACAAGGGCTTGTCATGTTAAAATGTTATCAACTGATCGGGACTCATAAACCTAAAGTGATCCCCTTTTGAGCCCTATGCCTCAGGCACAAGGCTAACTCTTTCTTTAAACAACAATATATTCCAAAGTCTCAAGGATGTTTCAAACCAAAATGGAGATTTATGTATAGATGTGTATATGGTTGTAGGGTCAAACTATAACCTACCCCCCTCTCTCTGAGGGAATCCCTTTGACAGTCTTAAACCTACCTTCCCCCCTGAGGGAGTCGCCTGGACATTCCGTCACACAGTCCAGTTTTTGTACTTCCAGCCAGTAGAACAGCTCAGCCAGCATCACATACAGGTTCTGTCTGAGACGGTCACTCGTGTACAGGAGGTCCTCATAGGCGAGCAGGAAGCACCGGCCCGGGATGTAGTTATCACAGAAGTTCTTCACCAGTTGTAAATTGTATAGAGAATCAGCTATCCCTAAGCTGGACTTCAAACAGATATCTGTAAAGGAAGTTTGTCCTTCAAACTGACGCAGAGTTATTTTTCCTTAAATCATTTCAATTTCACATAGCAACATATCATAGATTGCCAACCTTTGTATTCCTACACTGAACATCAAACTGTCAAGATAGTATTATTTACAGCCAGCCTGTTAATATGTCTTAACATTTGCTCGTTAAATATTTTTATTTTATATATACAGATGATTGCAGTTAATGTCACATTTTTTCTCTCTGACAAATGACATTAGACATCACAACATACTACCTTGTATGTCAATCAGAAAACTTAATTTTCAAAAATATTTGTTTCATTTAAAATAGTAATTTTGAAAAAACATATGCATAATTATTATCATTTTTTAGAAGATATTCCTTGTGTCCTGGCAAGTACTAGTTACATTTTAATGAGTATAGATATTTTACAAAAAGTGCAAAATGCTGGTAAAAAGGGAAAATCTTCGTCCCAAGAATTGAAATATTAACATGTATTTATCAAGAAACAAGAAATATTCTGTTCCTTATATTTTACAAAGACAAATATTTTTATAAATTGACAGAACTATTTGTTAACAGCTCATTAAGCAGCTATCTGATTAAAATGTAACCATTAAATTAAAAATGTATTTCTCCAAGTAAATGCTCCTCTCTGATTGGTCATTTCACTCTCTCATAAAAAACTTTAGATTTTTTTTAATTTCACCCATTTTGAACCGTATATTTCACTGGTAAGAATTTAATCACCATCAAACTTTAGGGCAGTAGGACAGTAGAAGCTGAGGAGTGTGGCCAAAGAACAGCCGTCCCCCACGTCACTCAGGAAATCCTCCATCACCGGAACTGTCACAGGCTCTCGTGGCGTCGACTTACTCACAATTCGCACCTGTCAAAATAATTTGGATAACATGTAAATAAACTAAAAATCATTTTTATGAAGATAAACATATGCCTCCCCTTATTTGGGATACGCATATTTGTTTTGTACTTAATTAACCTTTGACCTAGAGGTGAAGGCCACAGTGGCAAAATTTGGTTTACATTTTTTTAGATGATGCAGTGTAAATTTTTATCAAAATATCTTCAACAGTTAAAAATCTACAGCATCTATGGGGATGATTTAAAATATACATCATCTATGTGGATAGTTTAAAATATCTAGGCTCTATGGGGATAGTTTTAAATCTAAAGATGCTATGGAGATGGTTTAGAATTTACAGCATCTATGGAATGTGTAGCAACAATTCAAAAATCTACAGTCTTTGTGAGGATGCATGTATTTTGTACAGAAATGTAAACGAGTCAAAAAACAAAATATAAATTCCCTACCCTCTGTTGGGACTCGCCCTGGATGATCTGGTCAGCCTGATCTTTGACCTTTTTGTCAAGGATAAGTTGTACTGTCACACAAATCTTGTTGGTCCAAAACACCAGGGCATCATAAACATCATTGGGAAGCTCACTGGAGGCATTGAAAGTTGCAAATTTCCTGAAATATAATCACACAAATATAAAAACATAAATTTGTTTTCCAAAAACATTTACCTGGCTTGAAAGTTGCATATAACCTATTGTATCATATAATCATGCATATATTAAATTTGTTTTCACTTACCTGGCAAATCATTGGCCATACATGTATTTCCAGAACTATTTTATATTACCAGACGTGGTATTATCTAAGAATAATATCATAATTTGAAATGATTGAAGTTCTTTTGGATGCATCTTATAATGCTTTTAGAATTTTCTTGGGTTTTTTTATAGGTTTAACTCATTCACCCCTGAAATTTCATAATGAACTATTCAAACCTTTTAATTGGAAGGGTTCAAATGTGTCTTCAGGGGTGAATGAGTTAAACAATAAATTCTGAACCTTATAAATAGTTCCAACCACTGCATAGTAAGATAAGATGAAAGTATACTAGAGGAAATATTCCAGGTTGAGTAACTTATGAAATAGAGAAATTCGTCAGATCGTTGTACAGGAAAACAATACAGATCACTCACTCAGCCATAGCTTGACAAAGGGACGAGTCAGACTTGAAAAGTTGTGACACGTTTAATACGTCCATTGTTTGTGTATAAAGTAAAATTAGATGCTACTTTTCTGCTCTCACCTGACAGTCTGTACAATCCGCTCTATGCTGACGACTTCACTGATGTACGCCATCATCAGTGCATCTATTAGGGACACATGGGCGTTCTGAAATGACATCACAGCAGCAACACAATGAAATTATACTTAAGGATCCCTGCCCACTGTGGTTTTACCTATATACAGTAACTTCCCCTTAACTTTCGTTTGGCTGTAACTGTGGCCCAGTTTGATCAGGTCACTTCTGTTGACCAGGTAGCTCAGTTAGTAAGAGTGATGGTATAACAATCTGAAGTCTAGGGTTTGAATCCCGGTCAGTTGAATTACACTCAGAACATTGTTGTTAATATAAATTTTCTTTTTTCTTATCTTTTATTTCTCATTAAAGTCCCACGGCGTATGGATTTCTTTACAGAAATAATTATTCAAAGCTTAAGTCATGCCAGAAAAAAAAGGTTCCAAGACCTAGTTACAGTTTTTGGCAGTGGTACAGGAGTCATGGTGTGAATGCAGGAAACTATAGAAATGTTTGTTATTCATAGCCTAGTTGTTCAAAATTTCTTTTATTTGTTATCAATTCACTACAATATACTTACTAATGCTGAATATCAGTATTTCATATTTTGTTATAAAACACCACACATCTTTAAATGAGCTTAGCTGTTAACGGGATGATAAAAGGACCACATGTAGGACACATGTAGCGCTAACACTGGTGTATAGATACAATCATTACTTACCGTCTGGAATGGTGCATTTTTCATCAGGATTGTTTCTGTGACTTCAGTGTCATCATTCTCTCCCACATAGATTCCTTTCCTGCTCAGTACTTGTATGATACTCCAATGGCCTGTGATAGAAACAGTTAATTATCTCCCTTGTAATGTAAAGTTGCTATAAATTGAATTGTATCTCCCTTGTTAAAGTTACACTACATCTGTAGGTTAAACTCACCAGAAGTTATAATGATGAGCCAATAACATAAAGACAAAGTATTACAAGGTTTTCATAGTAACCGTCTCTGGACACATCTCTGTATAAAAAATAACAAAGGGCAAAAACTCTGTATATACTATCATTAAAAAGTTAACAATTCAAGGAGACAAAACTCTGTGTATACTCTGTAATGTAGTCAGGCATGACAGTCTATATCAAAATGGGGTTTTCTTCCATTTTAAGACAGATTCACATGAAAAATATGGTAATTTTTGGTGACAGGATACCAGATATTTTCTGGACAATATGATGAACAGTGAACAAAAGTGGGTCATGGGACTTGATTTTGATGCAAGACACCAAGCCATACTAAGAAGTTGATGCACGTGCAAAATTTGGCAATTGTAGGTTACAGAATAAGATATGCCCCAGACAAAGTGATGCAAATTAAACAAAGGGCCATAACTCTTTAAAGCATGGAGTACTAGATCCTTTTTCAGTATGTAACACTTGCCCATCTAAAGAAGTACTCACTTACACACAAAATTTGTCAGTTGTAGGTGACAAGATTATTTAAGACATACCCCAGACAATGTGATGTACTGACTGATGAACAGAGTACAAGTCTGAAGTCTCCTTCAGTGGAACCTACATACTGGAGGAACCATATCTCCATCAAACACTTCACACATTTATACAGTACCTTTCCACTGCGAGGTAGACTCCCCAAACATGTTGGAACACGCTTGGCAGTACAGCTCACTGGTCATCATAAGGTTGGCAAGGCGGGGCTTCACATGTATCGACCCCTGTCAATCACAGCAAGACATCAAATGTAGATATTTACATACAGATCCTAATCGTACATTTGTGATATTTCTGTACTAATTTCTAATGCTGTAACTTTCATTGGTATTGTTTTCTAATTTTCTGGTTTTTCCATTCACTTTAGTATTTTTGTTTGTTTGAAATTCCTAGGATTGAATTATTTATATATACATCGCACTTATATATTCAATGGTTCCAGTAAATGTTGCAACCACACCCTGAAAATTTCACGTTATACAATATTGAAAATGACTTGGTTTTACCCCCTTTTTTCCCTTATACACATTAGGATATTTATGGTGTGTCTGTGTTCATGTCCCAACAGGACACTACCCATTGATCTGACCCCCTTCCCACCTCAGGCGTGGTGTAGAAAGGATCATGGAACTCCTTCGGCACACCATCCTTGTAAGCCTTGTGTAGGATCCACTGGGTAGAACATCGTAACTTGGCCTGGAAAACAGAAAATACATTTTGAAATTCTATGAAAATACCTTATAAAGTAAAGTCATCAACTGTCACTAAAACAGCTGACAAATTTCTTGAAATATTATAATTATAGTAAACAAGCAGATTCTAAAAAAATTTTGTCCACACTATTTATCTAAATAATTATGCATCCAACAAACCTTTGTTGGTGCCAATATCCTACGTCCATATTTTTGTTATTACTATGATACCTATATAAATACCATTTGTTGTATAAGAGCTGGGTATATTAGACCATAACAAATACAAATATTGAAATATATAAACATAAAACATTTTTTTTTCTAACCGGAAAATGTCACCGAAGTTTAGGTTGGATATGTTATGATGACCTAGACTGTAGAATATGATATATATGACCTCAAAAAGTGATTTGTTATATTTTGTCCATCACATCACAGACCATACTGTGGCATACATACATACTGAGAGTATTAACCAGACAGAGAGGAGCAGCTGGTCTTGATCCGTCATTAGCAAACACTCATTGCAATTGTTACACATTATATATAGACCTGACAGGTGCGCCCAGACTTTCTGTTTAGAAATTGTTTCATGCCTAAATAAATCGCAAAGTGTGCTGAACCATATAATTCATGTATGCTTTTACAATCCAATTTTGTTACCATTACAATTACAATCTGACCCAATGTGTGTTAAACTTACATACATGTATAAAGTACTTTAACATTCTTAAAGGCCTATACTAGTGTTTTTTGTAAACATGATGACACATCCCTTAAATGTTTTGTAAAAAGGATGACACACCAGTTCATGATGTTTACACCTCTTTGATATATTCATAAANCTTTATGATCTAATTATAAAGACATTTACTCCTTTATTGATCGGTCTATAGAGTGACACACCTCTTTAATTTGATTGCTCTTTTTATAGAGAAACACAAATTTGATAATCCTTCTATTTATAGGACAACAGACTATTTTAAATGATCTATTTAATTACACCTACGTATTAAGCTACGGTCACCTTTATATCCTAAATATATAAATGTGTAGCCATTTAAAAACAAAGTGCAACCTGACTAAACAAAAGTCTGTATATTGATTGAGTATTACTGATTGATCTATCTTATGAACCTGTATAATTGAAAAACCTGGCAATGTGAACAGGTCTACTACTTGTTCTTGAGTTTTTACACACAGCCTAGCTACAATGTAGCTATGATATTTTAGCATGAAAATCAAGAAGTGTATTCAACCTAATGAATGCTCTCTGGGAGCTATATAAATTATCCACTGTAGTAACATGGGGAAATTGATAAAATTGTAGACCTTACCGTAAATTACTTTTTTTAAATTACTTTTTTTAAATTACTTTTCTTGTAAAGCTGATGAATTATGGTGAGGGGATGAGATGCTAAGGCTTGGACCAGAAAAAGATAGGGGGCACTTATAAAGTATGGTGAGCTTATATTCGAAGGGATAGGGTATTTATTTGGTCAAATACTGTATCTAAATCATAATTGTTTTATTTTAGAAGGCTTAAAATGTATTACATAATTGGAAGAACTGATATAAATATACAAACAGTTGGCAGTCTTCAGTTATTTTCACACTTAACTTGTACTTGTACATTATACAAGTTAGCTATATAGCATGGGGCGATAACACTTGTAAAGCCCTCATTTAAATACACACACAAGTTATCACTAAAGATGTATGGAATACTTCCAATCTGCAGTGTATCCCTGAATAGGTCAAAGATAACCGTCATTGTACAAACCATGGTTTGGCTTCTTTCATATATACATGAATCAAATGTATACATACACAGGGGTGGGGGGGGGGGGGGGGGTAATAGATCTGAAATACAACACCAGTTCTAACACTTTCTTCCTATGTAAATGCGATAAATGCACATCAAAATTTAAAATAACTAAAACATGCAACATTGAGCATATGTTGATTTTAGTTTACTTGAAGGGTAGAAATATCATTGTAATCCTACCTGATCTATAGTATATAATACTTAAAAAAATTAATCCAGGAGTGATAATATTTTGACTCTAGAAATGTGGACCTGTCAATAAGTATTCCCTCTTTTCGTATTGCAGAGTTGTCTGCTCTTGTGAGCAGGTATTGAGTGTTACGTCATTAGTTTGTGAGAGTAAAGTCATAAATTTTTGAGAAAACGATGTAATTTTTTCACACAAACTAATGACGTAACAATCAATACTTGCTCACAAGAGCAGATAACTCTGCAATACGAAAAGACAGAATATATGTATCATAATTATGCAAGAAGGACTTATTTCTAGACATGATTCTGATGTGACCTGTTGGCCAAAGTTCTATATAGCACTGGGCACTCACAAAAACTGTCAATACTTTAAGGATCCTTGTCCCACTACACTGTAGTTCTTTGTTCATACACAGTAACTTCCCCTTAATTTCGTTTTTGGATTAATTGTGACAGGCTACTTGAGCAGGCAGCTCAGTCAGTTAGACTGATAGCACATGACAATCCGAAGTCTGGGGTTCGAATCCTGGTCTAGCCACACTCAATTTTTTACGTTCAGAACACTTCTATTTTGTTTGTTCTTTTCCCATTTCCTCTTTATTATTTTTTTATAAAAAGTTTTGCAAGGTAATGATTCTCTTTTCAGAAATGATTCATCGAAGCTACGATAATGCCAGAAAAAATAGTTTCAAATACATAAAGTACAGTTTTCGGCAAAGGTACACCGATCCTTAAAGTCATAATGACTATATCTATGATTTAAATCAGATAATTGGCACAAAAACATATTTTAACTTCGTCAAAGAAATGGATTATTACTTTTACTTGCAGGTTCTGTTAAACCATGACATGCATATATATTGTATATAAACTTCAATTTCTTTTTTAATAAAACTTTCACTCAACAGCTCTACTTTCAATAAAACTTAAAATATACATGATTAGGCGTATAGTAAACATGTATGACTCACTAGTCACTCGTACAGCGAGTAGCTACCTGGTATGTTATAAAGACAGATATAGGAAATCATGAATGTATCATTGTGTAAGTGCACCAAGTATACAGGTGATGTACAGAACTGCCATAATACTGGTTATAAATCACATTATTGTATATACATTACACAAACACTTTATGAATGGTAACCCTATATATTGAACACAAATCAATGAGAAAACAATGTATTTTCACCAGATCAACATTTATCCCAACAGAAACTGTATATTGTACAAGTTTACGTCCATAATATAGACCAGAATATATATATATATAGCTATGTATACATGCATCTGCTCTATACCCGGTATATACATTTATATATAGACTAATGCAGCGTTCACACAGTGCCGATTATGTCTCCCGTTTGAGATCAGACAGCGCTACGACACGAAAAGTGAAAAAGTCAGATTACTATATCCTCAATGATCTGGAAAGTCCTATCTTTGTCTGAACACAATCGTATACGTTTGTAACAGAGTCCTACAGCTACGGATCGGGAGAATTGGCAGAATATCAATATTTTTCACAAGTGCAAAGCATGAGTGAAAATAGCAGTATATTCTGCCATATGAGTGGAATATATTTAAGTTATTTAAGTTATTCAATTGGAAAAATCATTAAGTTTTCTATATATTACATTTTATGAAAACAATGGAAATATTGCTGCATCAGAAAAGTGTGGTAAAATTCAAAGTGATAATATTTTTAAACTCTCCTTGTGTGGTATTTCAAACGACTCACAAAATATGGGGGGATACATACTGTTTACAATGTATGTACCTGGTAGGTTTATATCATTATATATGACCAATACATATAACCTAAGGCATATGATATGACTACAAGACATGTATGACATACTAAAAAGGTGATGGATGTTAAATTTTGTCTACTGCACTGTCTAACCTTTTCAACACATAACACAAATCTGTCAGTGAACTAAGTTCAACTTTTAATTTATGCCTACGTGTAAAAAAAGTATACAGGTACATATTCCCTGTGTAATTTTTAAACTTACCTACCAATGCAAAGATAGGTGTAGGAAAAAAACATTGTTTTCAATGGGACTGGGGGGAGGGGGGGGAGAGTGTTCAGAGCACAACGGTGATGGAACACCAATCTGCCTGGAGGGGTTTGGGGCATGGTTCAGATGACTTCCATTTTCTTAAGAAATGCTACATACACTTTCCTGAGGGATTTAGGTATAATTGCCAGGGAGACTCCTGATCTTGGACCCTAAACTTAAGCACTTTCAACCAGCAAATTTGCTAAACTATTCCTATTTTTCCTATTTCCCCCCCCCAAGATCTAATGATTTCATTGGAAAGAATAGCTAAAAAGACGTCATTTGGATTATATAAAAAGAATTATTTTTTACCTGGGGATACTAATTTTACACCTATTTTATTTATGCTTTTAATTTCTGAGCACAAGCAATCTCAAGCTCCCCTAGGGAAATTTTAAAAAGTTGGTAAGTATGTTTAGTAATATTTTCACTTAATGAATAAGAAAAAAATATATCTGAAAATCCAAATGACAATGGACCAATGTCAGTTTCATTTCGAATAATTGATAATTAGAAGTGTCTTGGTACCAGCTGTAATACACGATGTTTTACGCAAATATGTATCTGGACCAATATCAGTGAGTGATAAAGACAGATGTGCAGGCCAGCAGAATTTAAAACCCAATACAAAATGTTCTTTTTACCGGTTAAAGCTGATTCCAATATCTGAAATCCTGTACATGTATTTAATTCAGATTATATTATAATATCATTAGCTTTCTCCAATTTTTGGTATAAAAACTTCATTTATTTATTTAAGACGATATATAACATTACTTTGAATGAAACAATATCCTAAGACTATAAAACTATATTGATTGTATGAATCATTATTTGCATTGGTAAATTATAATGATACTATAGGATGTGTACGTTAGTTTACATACTGGACGGTCATTCCCTAAAAAGGTTATT